TTTTCCGATTCGGCTTGTACACCCCTAAAAACAATGAACGAAATGAGTTCAATATTTCAAGTTACTAACACTAAACCTATTGAATATTTGAAATTGTATATTCAAAATATAATATTTATTAAAATTCAATGGCTTTCTCACACACACACACCCCATTCGGCAACATACTTAATTCGGCAAGCTAAAAAGCTACTTCCGCCGCTGGTGCGTTAATTGGGAGACTTATAGACAAATTCCAAGATTGTATAGACAAATTTTTAAGACGAATTGCGACAATATGTTGACGCTGTCTGTGCAACAGTCCGCGTACAGTACACCATTGGAAATAGTTTTCAACCAGTAATAAATGGTTCTCAATAGTAGCTGCTCATTACCACACATGCAAATATCGGATGATTCACAAAAGGTTCAGCCATCTGACAAAACTTGAAAGACATGAAAAATGGCTCGGACCAAAAACGTTACTACCAACTCAAGTCTAAGCTTATCCTTTAGTATATCTCATTCATAAAATCAACCTACTTTTGCCTCGAGCAAAAATATCATGGTTAGATTCCTTTTTTAAAGTATACGCACGGAAGCTAGTAATAAGTACTAAAACTTAGCAACTGAAGCTGCTTCAGCTTTACGAAGTAGTATTTTTCTACTAATGCTATGCTGTTTGTGAAAGTTGAGAAATGAGGGAGCTCCGAGCTGCCTCCAATGGAGGTTGTGGAAGCTTCTCGAAGAGAGAGGATAACAAAGAGAAGAGTAAAGTCGGTTAACTGAAATTGATATTAACCAAAAACTAACTAAAAAGGTTGCTCTCAGTACATATATATACATATTGACTTATTGACTAACTGATGCTAACTAATAATGCTGACTCAGCATTGATACAAATAAATATACAGTAATATTCTCAATACCCCCCTCAAGTTGGAGGTGAAGGAGTCACACCCAACTTGCCAAGTACAGAAGAATGTTTGATTCCAGTGAGGACTTTAGTAAGAACATCAGCAAGTTGTTGCCCAGTCCCAATGTGATGTAGTGAAATGAGACCCTCTTGGAGCTTGGTGCGCACAAAATGGCAATCCACTTCAATATGCTTGGTTCTTTCATGGAATACAGGGTTCCTAGCAATGTGTAAAGCAGATAGACTATCACAATGTACAGGTATGGGTAGATTTATTGACACAGTAAGTTCTTCAAGCAGCCTGGATAGCCAAACAAGCTCACCAACAACCTTTCTGAGAGCTCTATATTCTGCTTCTGCTGAGGAGAGTGAAATAGTTTCTTGTTTCTTAGACTTCCAACTAATTGGGCTTCCACCTAGGAACACAATGTACCCGGATACTGACCTTCTGGAATCTGGACAAGCTGCCCAATCAGAGTCACAATATGCAGTCAGAGAAAGATCACCTTCATTTCTGAAACAAAGACCCATAGTGGGATCTCCTTTTAGGTATCTCAACATGCGATAGGCTGCCTTCAAATGGGGCTCCCTAGGGTCTTGCATGAATTGACTAAGATGCTGAACCCCATAAGCTATGTCCAGCCTGGTATTGGTGAGAAAATTTAACTTGCCAATTAACTTCTATAGAAAGTAGGATCAGAAAGTGGGGTTCCCTCTTTGGCTTTCAGCTTGATTGTAGGATCAAGAGGAGAAGTTAGGGGTGGATAATGAAGACATTCATAGTCTTTCAATAAGTCTAAAACAAACTTTCTTTGAGAGACAACAATGCCATCTGACTTGTAAAGGATCTCCAGACCCAAGAAGTAATGTAGCTGTCCCAAATCCTTGATTTTAAACTTATCATGTAAGAAAACTTTGAGTTGATCAATCTCTTCATAATCAGTCCCTGTGAGCAACACATCATCCACATACACTGCTGCAAAAACAATAGAGGAGTTCTGTCTTCTGTAAAATAAGGAATAATCATGCATGGAGTGCACATACCCTCTGGAATACAGCACTTCAGTTAGTTTATCATACCATTGCCTACTTGCCTGTTTTAAACCATAAAGTGACTTGTTTAGTTTACACACTAGTTGTGAAGAAGACACTTCAAGACCTGGAGGAGTTTGCATGTAGACCTCCTCATGAAAATCTCCATGGAGAAATGCATTATTCACATCTAGTTGTGAAATGTGCCACCTCTTCTTTGCTGCTATAGCAATGAGTGACCTCACAGTAGTCATCTTGACCACTGGGGAGAAGGTCTCTGTATAATCTACATCAGCTTGCTGAGTGTATCCTTTAACAACCAGTCTTGCTTTATACCTCTCAACACTACCATCTGCCCTATGTTTAACTTTATACACCCATCTACACCCAATGGCTTGTTTTCCTTTAGGTGAGGGAACCAAATCCCATGTTTTGTTGGCATACAAAGCATCAAATTCCTGTGTCATGGCATTCTGCCAGGCAGGATATACTGCAGCTTCTTCATATGAAGTTGGCTCTCTATCATTGCAAATGTTCTCTACAATATGCTGACTATTAGGATGTAGGGCATCATAAATGATGTGGTTATTACCAGAAGACATGGCATGTACAGAAAAATTGGCAGTACACTTCAGATTTGGTATCTTATAAACATAATCATTTAGATGAGATGGCAATCTATGCTCCCTATTGGATCTCCTGAAGGTTGGTTGTTCTGCCGGAGGTTGAGGGGATGAGACCAGATCTTGTAGTTGGTCTACTGGAATTTGAGACTCATGACTAGGGGACATAGGGGAGGACACATCAGAGGATGTGTTGGAGTTTGAAGAACTGGTAGTTTCCTGGTTATTAGTATTTTCACTATTGTGATGGTGTAGTTGAACATCAGTAGAATCAGGGGAATTCTCAAAGAATGGTATATTAGGAAGGATAGATGGAATGTTTGATGTAGAGTTAAGAGTGAAGGGGAAAACTGACTCATAAAATGTAACATCTCTAGAAACATGTATTTTCCTAGTGGCCAGACTTAGTACCTTGTAACCCTTTGTACCAAAAGGATATCCTACAAATACATGTGGACTGGTTCTTGGTTCTAGTTTATCTCTGAATGGTTTTGGTACTGTGGGGTAGCATAAGCACCCAAAACTTCTCAAGTGAGAGTAGTTTGGCTTCCTTTTGTATAATAGTTCAAAGGGACACTTGTTCTTTAGAGGAATGGTTGGTAATCTATTAATCAAGTATGTTGCTGTCAGGACACACTCTCCCCAATATTTTAATGGCAATCTGGATTGAAAAAGGAGTGCTCTAGCTACTTCAAGCAGGTATTTATGTTTTCTTTCCACCACCCCATTTTGTTTTGGTGTATAAGGACAAGTTTTCTGGTGGTTAATTCCTTTGGATTGGAAGAAAATGGCAGCTTCATTGCTGGTAAATTCCAGACCATTATCAGATCTTACACATTTGACAGTTGTCTTGAATTGGTTTTACCATGGCTGTAAAGGCCTTTATTATCTGCAAGGCATTGCTTTTGCAACTTAGGAGGTGTGTCCAAGTGGACCTACTGTAGTCATCTACCAGGGTTAGAAAATATTTGAAGTTATTGTGTGTAGATACATGATAAGGCCCCCACAAATCCACATGAAGTATTTCAAAGATTTCAGTAGTTTCTGTTGTTCTTTGGGGAAAAGAAAGTCTGGATTGTCTGGCCATGGGGCAAATATTGCATGTAAAAGGCTGTTTGTCAGAAAAGGTTACAGGTATAGTAGGAATTCCTTTCATTTTACTAAAAGGCACATGGCCAAGTCTGAAATACCACAAAACATCTAGATTATTAATATGAGATGAAACAGAAAACAAAATAGGGTTACTGTCTTTATTCTTGGTGTTGTGAATGGAATTATTTACAATTGGAAGTGCATTGAAGGACTGAATTAGACAGTGTACAGCCCTTACATCACTAGAATGAATGGAAAGACAAGAAGGACTACATTTCTGTTTAGAACTACCTTTCTTCAAGCACCTGGAGCAAAGAAAATATAAACCATCCAGCAACTTACCAATCTCCAGAGGCCTCTTCAGTGAAGGGGCCTGCAGCAGACAGGAAGTGTCTGAGAATGATGCAATACACTTTAAATGAACTGCCAAGGAACTGATGGACACCAAGTTAAATTTGAATGAAGGAATGAATAGAACTTTGTACAGGATGATTTCAGGTGTTAGGAATACACTTCCAATTTCACTTACTCTGACTTTATAGCCATTTGGAAGCTTTACTAATAGAGGATAAGGGAGATTTACTATGTTGTGTAATTGAGATTTATCAAAGGTCATGTGGTGTGATGCCCCGGAATCTAATATCCACAAGTCAGCCTTTGCATTAAAGCATCTACATGATGGGTTGTCAAAATCAATTGAAGAAGTGCAAGCAATCATACCTGCAAAATTCATTGATGCTCCACTAGCCATGTTCACACTAGCTGAGCCTTCTCCAATGCTTCCCGTATGAAAATGTTTCAATAGGCTGACAATCTGTCCATATTGCTCTTTTGTAAGGTTGACATTTTGGTTTTGGCTTTCTCCTTGGGACTCCAGTTTTTCTCCTTCCTCAACACTTGTCACTGCATTTGCTGTGACATTTGAACCTTGTATTGTTGTTGTACCCTTGCGTAACCCGCCTATGTTGTTGTTGTGATCCTTGATTGAAGCTTTGAGGATAGCCATGGAGTTTATAACATTTGTCCTTAGTGTGACCTTGTCGTTTGCAGTAATCACAGAAAGGTCGAGCCCTATTGTTCACATTTTGGTTTCCAGTTCCAGCAGTATAGTTTGTTTTAAAATTCCTTCCTCCCAGGTTTGCATTCAGTGCTGTAGAATCAATATCCAGCTGATTTCTGGGCTTAAATTCCCTCTGTTTTTCTTCTTGTATCAGGAGGGCAAATGCTTGTGCCATATTTGGTAACAGCTTCATCATAAGTATACTCCTTCGAACAACTGTATAGATCTCATTAAGCCCCATTAAGATTTGTATGAGTCTCCTATCCTGCTCTGCCTTATGCATGTTCTCCTTCGCTCCTCAGGTGCATATGCAGCTACAATGAGCCTTAACACTGAGAGTATTCAATTCCTCCCAGAGTTTCTTCATCTTCGTGTAATATCCAGTAATATCAAGTACTCCCTGGCTCAAATCGTTGATTTCCTTCTGAATTTGGTACAATTTGGCCCCATTCGTCTGATCATATCGATCCTGAAGCTCTTTCCACAATTCGACGGAATCATTCACATACTCAACACTGTCAGCTATATCTCTCGATAGAGAATTCAGAATCCACGAGGTGACCATATCATCACATCTTTCCCATTGGCGAAAGAGTGGAGAAGTCACAAGAGGTTTTTGAGTATCTCCAGTAATGAACCCTAGCTTATTCTTCACAGAGAGGGCTCTGAGTACACTCCTCCTCCAGGAGCGGTATCCAATTCCATCAAAAGGCACCGGAACTAGACTAGATCCTGGACTATCGGAAGGATGTATATAAAATGGACTCCCAGCGTCAATTGTCGTCTGCATCGTTGTTGTTGCTGTGGTGGTGGTTGCTTCATCAACATGATCTGTGACCGCCATGAGGATTTTGTGATAAATCTGCGAATGATAGTCAGAGTGTTCTTCGTACAGCTGAAATTTCTTCAATTCGCTAACGGATCATCACTGAATGTGCTCGATCCAAATTTTCCCCAAATCGTGATTATCAAAAAAGTTATAAGAAACCCTAAACTGCTCGAATCAACTGAAAATAGCAAAAAGATATGATGCGTGGTCGTTGATCGGACCTCCGCTCTGATACCATGTGAAAGTTGAGAAATGAGGGAGCTCCGAGCTACCTCCAATGGAGGTTGTGGAAGCTTCTCGAAGAGAGAGGATAACAAAGAGAAGAGTAAAGTCGGTTAACTGAAATTGATATTAACCAAAAACTAACTAAAAAGGTTGCTCTCAGTACATATATATACATATTGACTTATTGACTAACTGATGCTAACTAATAATGCTGACTCAGCATTGATACAAATAAATATACAGTAATATTCTCAATACTGTTCTATATACACACAAACCAGCAAGAGTTTAAGCTGTTAACATGTTCTCAGAAGAAAAATATGTACAGAGTAAAATTGAGGTATTTCATAACTATATTTCCTAGCTTTAAGTTTAAGTTTGTTCAAAAAGCTCCTTAGATTTCATGCTCTGTGGAGCTTTATCAGTTTTGGCCTTTTGTCTTTTAGCTTCCTTTTTCGAAATCTTTGAATTATCAATATGGGAAACCTGCAAAAATATTAAGCACAAGTTAACGTGAGCGTACAAAAATTTATTGATAGAAGTAGTAATATACAGTGAATGCCTACTGAGCCTGATGAGAATAGATGTCTTAAGAGGAAAAAAAACAGAGAAGAGGGAAGAGGTACTCTATTCGTACAATGTGAGACTTCCACTCAAATTTGGAAAGCCCACCAGGGTCACCAGCAGCAGGTTGTGTATAGTCTCGAACATGACGAAATATGTGAATAAGAACAGCAGCATCAAGAGCAGCATATTCTAGCTGCACAACCGTAGAAATATTACTATCGAATAATACAGAACCATAAGCCAAAATCACTATTTACCTGCACAAGGATCAGATCTTATCATTCACTTTTTTTTTTGGAGAATGGTAACATCAGGTTTTATCAGTTCACAAGGACAAAGTCACCAGCTTCTTAATCTCATTTCTTTAGAAAATACAGCAAAATAGACAATTAAATTAAATACATTTCATTTGCTGGAAGCTTTTCCACATACTAGCACTTTCTGTTTATCCGTGATAGAATAAAACGTATAAACATATATCATATAAACCTGAAACTGAGTTAAAGGCCGTTTCTCCCAGTTGCTATTCCTTCTTGTTTTGTTCAATCCAGCGCCCAAGATTTTCTGTATCCAGAAAGAAACCAAAAAAAACATGGAGTAGAATTATTCATCGTTTTCCTTATAAAAATTGCATCTCTTTTGACTAAAGAACCAACAAGAATCTGTATCTTGCATATATATATATATATATATATATATACACACACACACACACACACACACATGGATACATGTGTGATGTGACAATGCAAGAATGCAGAAAACATGTATCGATTACCTTTGCCAGACCAGAGAGACCACCCCTTGGTTCTTTGAACACATTCTGGATATCAAGTAGCATGTCGTAGTGCTTGAAGCATTGCAACTGTCCATAAGACCCAGCAAGCTGCTTCATGTCACACTGGAAGTTGTAACCTGGAAAATACCCAATTATGACTGCAGAAATTTCTCTGCAAATAGAGTTTACAGACTGAAAATATACTGGTACACCAAAGAAAAGCAGGAATGTGTTCCATACAAATATATTGTGATATCAGCGTTCCCCCTTAATGAATGCATACTGTTCGATATAAGTAGTGCAAAAATTGAAAAGAAGCCATGAGAATCAACGAGTTCTCTTTCTTGGAGCATAAAAGGTGTAATGAACCTTTAAGCAGGAAAATGCCTAAGCAAATTAAAAGAATGTTGTTGTCATCTCCTACAAGACAATGTTCTCTCTTACCAAGCTTCAGTACTCTTGTTGAATGCAATATGCGGGTTAAGCAGTCATCCAATACATCCGGAGCATCTTCATATAACTTTATCAGATCAAGTATATAAACCTTGTTGTCAGAAGCAATCTGCATGATAGAAACCTGTTGCAGGGGGAAATAGAAAAGCTATTATACTGTTGAACGTGCATTTTCTTCACTCCAAAGGAGTCAGTCATATTAACGTATTCTCTATCATGCCTAACAACAAGGACACTCAAGTTAAAGATTATAAAGCTTTCGTTTCTAAATGAAGGGAAAGAATGCAATAAACCAGACTAGACTGAGAAGACATTGATGGAGAACATCATATCTTTACTCAGCCATTACAAAAGCGAATATCCTATTAGCTCCAAAATTCTCACCATCAATTTTTTTTTTTAAAAAAAAAAAAGCGGATACAATGCACAGAAAAGCATTGAAAGCGTACTCGCTAGACAGACCCTTTTATTCATCAGGAGAGACTCAAAACATTGGAACTTCCACTCATATTTCCATATTAGCAAGGGGTTGTTAAATCAGTTCATTGGAAAACTCGGAACCTTCTTTTACCTAGACAAAATAAAGAGATGGATGAATCATCAAATTATGTACTGTGCCTGATTCCAGAGGGAGAAAAATTAAACAAATAAGGAACCAGGAAACTTAGCCCAGAACTTATTCATGACCCATAATTAATAATGACATCAGAGCCTTATGAGTTCATAATAGATTAGAACAAAAAGAAAAGAGAAGAAAACGGGATTTACTCACATGCATACTTCTTTTGTCACATGAGTGAACCCATGAAACGCAACTTATTATGAATTGGTTTTTGGACTTCTAGGCTCATTTTCTTATCAGCCACGAGAGAGGAAGAGGACAGAGAAGCGAAATCCATTATGTTTCAGGGAAGAAGTAACTACTTTGTTGTGGTACTTTAGTTAGGAAGATATGTATTAACATAAATATCTTCACTTTGCCTGGGTAGATTAAGCTGACTCTGGTATAGTCCAAGATATTTCATCAGTCATACATTTAGATCCCTCTTTAGATTGTGAGAAAGAAGGGGAGCTTTGAGTTAAGTGGTAAAGTTGCTGCCATGTGAAGGTCACGGCTTCGAGCCGTGGAAACAGCTTCTTGCAGAAATGCAGGGTAAGGCTGCGTACAATTGACCCTTGTACTCCAGCCCTTCCACGGACCTCGCACATAGCGGGAGCTTAATACACCGGGCTGCCCAACCCTTTTTAGATTGTGAGAAATGAGGAACCAAATTTTTTTACCACCACCCTTTTAAAAATAAAATAGCTTTGATATTGAGGTGGGAAGGACCACTACTTAAACAAAGTACTCAGCTTTGATCCAAAATCACCTTGTTAGATGAGCTTCCCTTTTCGTAATTAGGCTTCCACTCACAATCAACGCCCACAACTTTACATTCTTCAATGTGGCATGTAGCATCATGCAAGCCATTCACTTCATCTACCCAGACTACTTCCTTTATTGACAATTCATCAAGCTGCAAGTATCGGTCTTTCGGAAAATTTGCCTCAAGCGCTGTACAAGTAAGAATAAAGTAGGAGTTAGACAAAACAATAATTTACTCGGAACTGGCAACTTTGAAATAAACCACAAGCCAGCATCCAGAAATAATTAGAAGAAAAAAAGTAATCAACCAGGTCCAGAAACATAATAGGCAGCATTTTATTAAATGAAAGCCTAAGAAAATTATACTGGAAACAACTCCGAAGAACTCAGAAATAGTGCATATGAATATATGAGAGGTTCTTAAACTCGGAGACATAACATCTTCATAGAGAACATGTTAGACATTCATTCTTGTCGTACATATCTCAGCTACTAGTGGATATATCTCGGGCTCCATCTCTTTTGTGAAATTAAAAGGCATGAATATAAGTTAGAATAATTCTTTTGCTTAGCCGGAACTACTACACCTTTCAAACCATCTGAAAAACCACTTCCAATTGATTATCTATCCTATTGGCGAAAGGTTTCTCAGATTCATGGATATCAGGTCCTTCACAATCAATTGGTTGTGCCTAGTTATGAAGTGAAAAGTTAAAAGGTTTAAATCCATTATGGATATGAAACTGATAGATCCACATGCAAAGTCAAATATTTCTAGAATCAACCAGAATGACTTCTCAAACAGCAATAAAATGAAATCACTTAGTTGTACATTTGAACGAGTATTCATGGATCTGCAACCTCTTAAATCACTTTCTTGGTTGACAGCTAGTAAATATCCCCTGTGTCATTTAAAGTCACATCATTTCAGAATAACCATACTTGGGTGGACCGCCTCAACATAGTCGATAACAAAAGCATAGACTTTGTACCAAGAGAATCTCAGCAAAGATCTAATGCAATGCAGCAGAAGAAAGCATAGTCAAAGGCAACCTTAACAGACTCAAATCTGCTCTAGTTCATATTGATTCAACATTTATGCAGATTAATACTTTTTGGAGAGGTCAGCAAATACAGCTCATTAGTGCTTAGATTTAAAAACTTAAAAAGTGCTTAGACTGGTTACTTAACAAGAAATAGAGGGATCCAATGTACCTCTGGCATTTATGAAACCTTCAAGGGAATACCGTTCACAGAGTTCCTCAACCTTCTCCATGTAACCAGCTTCCATAGCCAAATAAACCTTTTTCATGAAAAGTTTATTAAAAACGATACAAAGCCAACACATATAAGTTTTTACTCAAGTGATATAACACATTCACATATTGCAAAGTCACGAGCTACTTTTAACTGGTCTCTCATGAACATTAGTCTCCGAGTATCAGCCCAAAAACAAAAGAATTCAAGTTCTAAGGGATAGGTTCAACATCTAAAGGCTATAGGTACGATAGGAGGGTGTGGTTAAGCAGGTAAGCTCGCTCCCTCTCTCCCTCCTCCCTCCGGTCTTCTGTAAAGCCTTTCTGCCTATCTGTTATTTTTTTAATCTTTACTCAAACTAAGCAGATCGAAAGTACGAAAAGAAATGTCTTAGAATGCCCTTGCTCTAATTCAAAATCCATCTCTTTTTCATCAGATTACAAGAAACTGATGAGGACTAATATACTTATGAGATGAATCTGAAGCTTATATGTCAGGCTCTGTGTGCAGCGCTTCTCAAGACTACTAATAAGTAACAACTCATATCTTGACAACAAATTCAACAGCACAAGAATATGCACAATTGATAACAAATTTAATAGCACTAAAATGAATTAGAAATTGACAAGAGTCATTGCAGCTGTGTACTTGCCAAGTACTCAAGAAGTTGAGGATCATCCTTCACTCTCGCCTCTGCAACATCCCAGCAACCCTGTTCTGCTAGTTTCTTCAGTTTGCTGTAAATTAATACTGTCACAGTCAGCACTATTCATAGGAAAAAAAAAAAATATATATATATATATATAGCTGAAATGCTAAGCCACACAAAAGTGGACGAATCCACTTGCCTTTCTTTGTATTGATGATATATTTCTGGGAACTCCTTCCGAAGATTGTGTTGCCTTATAACATCAAAAGCATACTTTGGCAGTTTTCTGTCAACGTATTCTTGGACAAGGGTACACAAGATTGGCTTCCCCATAAAAGTTGCCCACTTTTCTGCCGCTCTGTATTGTTTGCTTTCCATCATTTTAAGCAGAAAAGATTCCCCAGATTCCCGGATAGAAAAGTGTTCCAACAAAGAAACTGCGGTCATGTATGACTGGGATTCTACTAACCTAAGAATATATTGTTCAACCAATACCTTAGCCATCTCCTGGCATGTTTGATCCTTCTCATCTGTATCATACATAGCTTTTTCTATGTTTGACAGACTGACATCAAAAAGTTCAAGGATTTTGACTAAAATTCTTTCTTCATGAACCAGAGTTCCATCAACAATAGCCAGAAACAATTTGGCAGCCAATAGTTTAGCTTTCAATATACCTTTCATGCCATTTCCCACTTTCAGGAAACGACGAAGAGCAGATATTATCAAATGACTGAATCCGTCACAGTGTGACTCAAATATAGGCAACACATACAGGCACTGAGCAACAAAGATGGCTGCTCCGGGTCGAGGATCATTGTACAGAGATTCAAACACTTGCTGTTGCAGAACACGAAACTTGGCAGTCGCCTTGCAGGTTCCTATGTAAAACAATAACTTGTGTGAGAAAAAATATCATGACCAAATATTATCAAATTGAGCTACACTGTAATCATCCATAGAAGAAAACAAATATGACTTCGAGATATTGCTCCTTTTATTGCCCTAAAATCTTGCTTTGGGTTTAGGAAATAAAGCTTAAGATATTTCAAACAATTTGGCAACAAATGACTAGTCAATGGTTATTAATGAAAGAATTAAGCCGGTTTCTCTACCCTCCGAAGACACCCTATGAAATATCACTTAATATGTTGACTGGCATGTCTGTTTTGCACCATATTGGTACCATATCAATAAACTTTTACCTTGTCAAAAAAAAAAAAACTGACTTGCGTGTAGCTTTTGTTCTCTTGCAACATAAACCTGCTATATCATCTCAAAAACTATTCTCATGAACTTCCTACGCACAGAAGATAGTAATAGTACTCATCGAATCCTTTTTGCATGAATGGAAGGAGTGCATAGAAGTCCTTTTGATATGTGGGAACACAAATATCTTACCTAGATCTTCATACTTCATACTTCATACTTCATATAGCCAAAGATGTTGAAGAATAAATAATTTTTTTGTTGATTATCAAGTTCTACAGTTACATTATCTTGTATAGTCCACTTAAAATCACCATTGGCTCGAATGACAACAACATACCCAGTAAAATCCCACTAGTGGGGTCATTTGGCTCGAATGACACTGGAGTGGAAATGGTTAATTCAATATATACAGCTTCATCTATCTATCTCCTTTTATGTATCCACAACTTCTCCCATCTGTCATTTTCCATGTCATATGCATGATATCCCCAATGTTCTTTACGGATGTGTCTATGGCACTTCGCATCAAGCCTCAATCATTGATGACATCGAAAGCAAAACACAATGTAACACAGTGGTCTGGCACAGTCATTTTGCTGATATAAAGTGCCTATTGCATCACTTCAACCCAAATGCAATTCTAACTAGTTAATACCAATCCAAGTTTTAACTAATTATTACCACTCCACATCATTAGGGCGGTTAAATGTACAAGGTGGACCAGTTGCTGATAAGCATATCTCACATGGTGTTTTTGACTACAACTTCAGAGAATGATGACAAAAAACTCATGGGTCAAGCTCGCTTCCTCTCCTTCCATTTTGGAGTCTGAAAGATTAAATGGTCTTTGAGACTGTGTAGTTATTCAGGCATAGAAATAATGTCATTGACAAGAGGAGCAGAGGTAGGATGACAATTCAACACTTCTTCATTATTTATCATATCAGATTGTCGCTCATGCCCCTCCTTGTTTTGATTCAATTTCTTGAAAGAAGAAAGTCGTCTAAAAGGAAAAAAAAAAAATATATGAAGCAGCCGACAAATGATTTGTCAAATCCTAAATTAATTGATCATTACGTTGGAAAAGGTTCAATTGTCATTTGGGTAAGAAAACAAAGAAATAACCAAAAGAATGATCAGATATTTAATTGCAAACAAAGTATTCAAAAAAAAGAGTTCCTAAAACTGATGGAATGATAACTTGGAGCAAACAGCATGTTTTATAAAAGAGACAGTGTGGGGAAGAACTTTACCATAGACATAGCATTCCTTTAAGAGGTAGAGGAAAACCACTGGAGAAACATTGGATAGATCACTGAAAGCATGCCTGGATACAGCCAAGGGATGTTGAACTTTATTTCGACTATGTAGGTGTAAAGGTTTTTCATTCAGACCCATGGTAGAAAGTTGAAGAAACCAGAAGCAGAAAAAACCTGCATTTTTTAATATGAAAGGGCAGAATAAACATTCTCAAATACCATTGCATGCTATAAGCTAGATGCCACAATGTCCCAATTCCTATGAACATAATTGCTTTTTTGCAAGAAGAAGACTTTTGCATTAAAGAAAGTCTTGTAAAGCTATCAGTCAAAGATAATGGAGGAGACAGGAACAACAAAATGCAATCCAAAAGAAACTGGCAATCTTATGAAGAATGACCTTAAGGCAAGAGACCAACTCTTCAAATAATTGTGGACACTGAGGAAGGGTAAACAATCAAAATAATATATATATATATATATATATATATATATATATATATATATATATATGTATGTATTACACTACTCATGAACAAAATTTAACTAACAGGCCCTACATTGTTGGTTACATTTTGAAGAGTTGTACAAGAAAATTTAGGCAATACATTCGACCTTGCTGTACAAGAAAATTTAGGCAACCTAATGGCATTTCTCTTTTTGGTAAAGCAACATTTTTATTAATTTGGCACGAAAGTTCCTGGTACAATTAGAAAATAATACAACATATATGATTCTCTATAAATATAACCTAATCATGGATTCATAAGAAATTAACTAACAGGCTCTATCAGTACTAAAATCATTTTCCAAAACGCTAGTCAATTTAGCAGCAACATCGCCAAACCAAAGTCATATATCCACACCCTCTTCTTTTATTATTCCTTTTCTTTTTTGAGTTAAAACCAAGACTGTCGATAGTTTATATCTCTAGCTCAAATTAATCTAAATTCTTGCATGAACCCCTGTAAGAAAGACAACAACAAGCACAAGTTTTGACAAACAAGACAAACAATAAATCTGTCATACTCATAATTGATCCACTAGGAGCACACAGTAATTTCTCCTAATTCTATTGAGCCTAGACTTTATTAAGAATCAGAGTAAAAGCATCAATATAATTAGAGTTATGGGCAAAAATAAAGGAAGAACATATTCAATGAACTCAGGTACGACTTTACAGTGTATGGTTGGTTAGGGGCTTTATTTGTTAACTGAGTACCTGGACTTGGGCATAGTAGCTGGAGCAGTGGATTTGCAAGCCTTGAGTTCGAGAGCTATATTATCAAATCAACAAAGCATTTCATGGGAAACAAAGAGGATGAGAATAATAAACTGTCAGTCACGTAGCAGAATTACACTACTCATGAACAAAAATTATCAAGCCACTTTTTGGGGTTAATAAGTAAGAGTATGGATATAGCTCCTTGGCACCAAAGTGGATACTATGAGGAGAAAGATATAGGAGAGCTTTTGAGTAAGAGGAAAATAATTTTACACAAACTATGAGCAAACTTTTTCTTTATTAAGCTTTTGGTGTACCCACGAGGTTCTAGTTACCATGACTGACTGGGCGTTTTTCGTAGAGAACTATGTTTTATTATATATTCTCCACTTTTCTGTACCACTTGTATACCAGAATATTTGCACCACATCAATGAATTATGATTATTATTATTATTATTATTTTAAAAGCTAACCAATATCAATATTTTGCCACATTGATTTCTCATTATACCTACTTCTAACATTGGCTTTTCGCGGAGTAAAGCTTTGGCCCTAGGGGAGGGGAACTGTAGTTTGCTCTCTGAACCTGGGGTAAACAACTATTGAAGGGACGCTTGACCTTTAAGGAAACCCCTTTGTTTTTACTTGCATCACATTGTCTTTATTTGGTCTCTTCAGCAAATACCCATCCTTATCTTTCTCCTTTTCTCTAATTGTTGTGAGTGCCAAAATTAGGTTTGAGATGGAGAATGATGAAACAATCAGATCATCACTAGACCTCTGGTTTGGTACTGATACCCTTAGAGAGGAACTTCCAAGTATCTATCAGATTGCCTTATTTCCAGATGACATGATCGCAGAACATAGAAGTGATAACTATTGAAACATACAACTCAGAAGAAATTGTCAAGACTAGGGCTTAGAGTCTCTAATGGCCTTAATGAGCATGCTGGAAAAAGCTAATATAAATTCTGAAAGACGAATAAAAATAAGATGGGCAATTGACTGCAGAGGAGTGTTCTCGGTCAAGACAGGATACGACGCGTTGGTGAAAACTGGTTATATAATTGAAATGTGGCCACGGAAGTTGATATGGAGCCTGTTTTAGCTGGATATTGATGCACGAAGCGTGTCTTACTCAAGAAAATCCGATGACGAGGGGCTTTTTTTATAATTATATTAGGGAAAAGAGCGGGGGAAAGAGGAAGGGGATGTTACACTAATGATGGGGTTTGAACCCTCCACCACAAATGTGGAAGGCAGGGAGCTCACCAAATGAGCTAACTGGGGGTCCAAGCTTTGCAATAGATGTTTTTTATGACGGTAGCCATGGAGGAACCCAAACACCGGATCCTACACTGTCAAGTTGCTAGAGAAGTCCAGGACATGTACATGATTTTTTTTGGTTTGCTGTGGGTAATGCCACACAGCTTGAAGGATGTCATTGTCAGCTGGTGTCAGAAAGTGCAGAAATCACGAAGACGACTATGGCAATCTAAACCAGGCTGTATTGTTTGGACTTTGTGGAGGAAAAGGAAACAAAGATGCTTTGAGGGAGTTTCAGTTGCTGTTCCTTCCATAAAAACTAGATGTTTAATGAACTTGTTTCGTTGGAGCAGTCATTGTGATGTAAATGATGTAAATCAATTTTTTGACTTTGTTGGCTCTTTAAGTTTTTTATAGGAGTTAAACCTGACTTTGTAATATTGTATCCCCTTGATGCATCGTATCAATGAAACTTATTTTTACTTGATTAAAATTCCCTTTTTGGTGCGCCTCAAACCAATCAAGAGCAATCTTCTATTTCTAAGGTACCTTTCTCAAGTCAGTCTAGGAAGAACAAGAAGGTGACCTAATGGTCAAAGAAGTGGAATGACAACAATGAAAAGCAAGGTTTGAATCTCAACAAAAGGTAACACTAAGTAAATTCTTCTCATCTGCCTAAGTTATGATGAGTAGGGTTGTCGATTCCTGTGTCGATGGGAGGTAGCAACTAGCATGTGCTCGGTGGATTAGTTAGAGGTTCAACATATCTTGTCCTAGAAACCACATTATATTCTTTTTATAACTGAGAAATCCCCGAGGGCCAATGGCACGCAGTTGAAACATGGTAGATGATGGGTCTGCTCTACCTTTTTCACTTGAATACTAGGCTTTTGTCTGCGGCAAAGTTCCAACCCATGATGTGCATCTAACTCACACACATTCGATAAACCACCACAACAACAAAAACCAAGTGAATTCCCACAAGTGGAGTCTGAGGAGGGTAGTGTGTACTCAAACCTTACCCCTACCTTGGGAGTATAGAGGTTGTTTCCAATAGACCCTCGGCTAGGGAGTGACAATCGATAAACCACATCATATGTTTATTGAAAAAATGTTTGGAGGGAAGGTAGCTAGGTTGTTAGGGTGAGAGAAACACTGAAGGTGGAAGCATGGCTCTTCCATTGTCCATATTTGTTCTTTTGGCTTCCTTCATCTTCTTTTTGATAAGGTAAAATTTAAATGGCTTCCTTCATCTTAAGGTAAGGTCGTTGAGTAGTTGGGGTGGACAGCATGAATTTGAGCAAGAGAAAGTGACTTTGGAGATGGGAGCACGAATTTTCTTTCTCCTTCTTTTGTTCTTTAGGCTTTTACATTTTCCTTTATGTTGTGGTTTGTTTACTCTTTAGTGATAAAATTCATAAAAGGGCCTCTTGGACAAATTAGTCAAAGAGGAAGGTGGTTAGAAAAGATTTTGAGAGGAAGTGCTTGGTAGAGAAAGAAACCAACCATAAAGGGTAGAAACCACTTAAGGGGTTTCAGTGCATTTTATGCTTCAACATATGTAAAAAGGGAAAGACACCAACCTTGCTATGCTTTCTAGAAGCATCATGGTGAGGATACATTTTGCAAGGCAAGAAAGCACACGGAATGGACCAAAGAAGACACTTCATCATCCTTCCATGCCAAAACCCATAAATAGTTAAACCTTGTGCATCTTTACAAAGTTTAACAGATATTTTAGTGTTTGTTGAATAAAGAAAATGACTGGAATTTTCTGAATTAAGTGCTGCACCTCCCAAATTTTAACTCTAGATAAATTTAGTGATTTGCAGCATATTCAAATTTTTAATGCTAGACAAACTTAGTGCTGTGTACCATATACAAAAATAAAAAGGAGGAAAGATAGTTCTGTCTTTAAAGTTTTATCCTACCGAAAAATTCAATAAGAGGAGCCATTTGACTGTATTTTCTTCTATTTTCTTTTTTCCTTTTTGGTTTTTGATAATTACAGTGCAGTGAGTACTGAGCGGGGAAAAACATGGCGGAGTGTTTTTCTTTACAAACGATTACATCATGCTGTAACAAACCACACCTAGAAGTTCATTGTGTTTCTCTTTCAACCCTTTCATGTCTAGTGGTAAGTTAATTTCATATTTCGGTGTATATAAGAAATATACATTTGGTAACTTAAGAATATGGATATAAGGATCTAAGGGAACAATGATTTTGGATACCCTTGCTTTGGTTCTATAAGACGAAGTTGTTGAAAGTACATAGTATGCACTACATTGACCTTTTCTCTTCATGCTTACATGGAAGAATTCACTCAAACCTAATGATAAATATTAGGTGAAATTAACAAATATCACAGATGTCACGTTTTGCAGAACAAGTAACTGCCTTTTTCATTTTCTTTTATTTACAAGTAACAACCTCTTTAGGTGAAAAAGACCCTAAGTTATCAGTGTTTTGGTAATCTAATATCTATAATGTACCCTTGCTCAATTACAAGATGCTTTAGATCAGTTTAAACAGATTCGTGCTAACCTCCTACCTCATGCATCCAATGAAGAAAAACCTTTCTTACCATTACTAAAAACACATAGGAATTCGAAGATCTTATATATGAAGGAGAAAGTTTAACAATCATAAGCATTATTATTCTAGCAACCAGTCTATCGTTTGCAACAATACCTCAGCAAGAAATTCTGCAAACCATTGTATGTACCAGGATACAGGACTTATTAAAGCATGATTACAGGGCACATCGCCCGCTCAAGATAAATTTGCTTCTTCATATCGACAAAAATGAAATAAGTGGTAGTAAAAGAAGTTTTCCCAAGTTAGACAGATCCTATCAGTAGTAATGCTCCCTGACTCAGAAATCTTATTTAGGAATTAGTTAAATTAAATGTATCAAGATGCTCCTTTATTCACAAGTTTCATCAAAGGGCAGCCAGAAAAGATACTTCAAGATCAAACTTAAAGACTTCAAAATTTAAAACTATGCTTCAATGCTTTTGTTTAAATTGACTCTTCAACAATAAAGAGGGGGATCCTTAATGTGAGAACTAACATGGGAAAAGAATATTATTGAATATTGATATTATATTCAGAATATAATACAAGAAGTCCTATTTATAGCTATACTCTACATAGTACATATTACTCCTATTCCAATGTGGGAATAAACATACTCATATACATCACTAACTAACACTTATTAAAATGTTACAAAGATATAAAATCATCTGTACTTTAGTGGTGTTAACCTAAATATTAGTTTCCACCCCCACCCCCCTCCCACCCCACCCCCCAAAAAAACAAGGGAACCTTTGCCACCGCTCAAGATATCACAGAAGGTAACAGTATGAGCAACAATATTACACTGCCAAAGGAAAGCATGAAACTGGAATGTGATAAATAGCAGCATAACAAGAGACATGGAACTAAGGAGGCAAGGATTAGTATTATTTGAACTTCAAGGTGGTGCAGTAAAACCTTTAAACCTACTATGGAACCAAGATTTCACTAAAGCAAATAGACACATCTCCATGAAAAATTGTTTTTATTATGTCTGGAAGTGGAAGAAAATATGCAAGAAAAGAATATGCGAGATAATGGTAGGGGAGGTTCTAGTTATGTTTGGAGACAATGTTCGGACAAGGGTGAGGATATTGGACAAAATTGATCCCGTCGCTCTCCTTCTCTTTCTTTCACCTCCCAGTTGGTGCTCAAAACTTGGACAGTTTTACATACAGTTTTCTTCACTCTTCATCTCTTATTACCTACAATTTAGCCAATTATAATAAAGATTAAGCAAGTTATAACTCCATTTTTTTCTCTTCATCATACCTCTTCCAATTGCTATTCATAGCATAAAGGTGTACCTTAACATTCTTTCCTTCAATTCCCAGCTGGTACCTAACGTCTAGAGAGTTCTATTTTGCCTTTTTGTTTTAGTTTTTCTTTTTTCCTTGACTCTATCTTCTTTGCTTCCTTTACCTCTCTTGAACTGGAGAAGCTAACCAAGCAGACAAGTAGAAATTCAACATTAAATTCAATTAAATATATCTAGATAAGCTCGTTTTCTGGAACTGGTCTAGTGAGGCACTTCCACTAGTTGTTTCCCCAAATCATCCTACAGTGGAAACCATTTCCAATAAATTATTTTTCTTTTCTTTTGACTTGTCTTTTTCTAACAGTTTTAAGATCCAAACAAAGAACAAAAATTAAACTATCAGTTAACAACATCCATCGAGGTAAAACTCAAACACATAATTAATCATCGTACTAGAGATTTTGCACATGCTAAACAAGCACTGAAGCAGAGCTTAACTTTTTGTACTATACAAGTCAATCAATGAAACAGTTCTAAGGAAAATCTCTCTATACAAACAAACCACTCACAAATCGAACAAAAGAAGAAGAAATAAATAAAACAACAGCCACAATTCCAACATTTTTTTTAAAACAATCACATCGATGAAACTAATCATGACTCACCGGTTCTTGAATTCTCGTTTAACCAACAAGCAAAAAACGAACCTACACACTCACCAAAACGAGCCTTTTGTTGTTCGTCTCAGCAATGCTTCAATAGCAATCTCCACTGCGGCCAAAATTACTACAAATACGAAAGTTGCACTGTCTCATAGAGTACTCAATAACAAGCAACAAACAAAGTCCAGTAACTTTACCGTGATTTCTCTTTCTTTCTACGGCCACAGCCACATAATAAGAACAATGTCGGTGTATTTTTCCAAACCAAAACAAAGCCAATTTTAAGGTTTTGTAACTTTTCTTCAATGGAATTGAATGCTATAAAATACTACTTGCTAGGGAATAAAAAAAGCCCTAGGGAAAAGGCGCAATGAAGATAAATAGAATGGAAGAGAAGAAAGGTAAAGCTTTCGCTTGCCAAAAATGGGAGAGGACAAATGTGTGTGTTTACTCTCTTTCCTCCATCTGTGGTTTATTGTTAGTTTTTGTTTCAGTCTCTGTCTCTGACTGCTGCGAGCTATTATGCGCAGGGTACGTGATTGTACTGAACGTGAGGTACAACTAATAGGTTAGGATGAAACGGAGGGTTATTTTGGACTTTTTATCTGCTCTCGTTCCCGATAAGGTCTACGTGTCGTTCTAAATGACGTGTTATACGACAAGTTTTATTGTATGTCTACACAACTTACATTAGTTGTGTGAGGTTCCATTTTGTCTCACAAATTTGTGGACCCCAATCTTACACTTCTGGGTCCACAAAACTGTGAAATAAAAAAGATACCACATATAACTAATGTCAATTGTATGAGACACAAAATAAAATTTTCCGTTCGAAACCAACCGGATCATCAACCGTTAGGATTGGGTAATGGGTAGGGGTGTTCATGGTTCGGTTTGGATCTGTTTTTCCTAAAAAGAAATCAAACCAAGTAAGTCGATTTTTCAAATATTAGAACAAAACCAAACCAATTAAGTCGATTTTTTCTCGATTCGGTTTATGTCGGGTTTTGTCGGGTTTTCGGTTTTTTCGGTTATTTGTCAGTTTTTTCTTAAATATAAGACATACACTACCAAACACATATTCCGGCGACCACATTTTCAATGTAACACTATCAAATTAATTACCCTTTGAAAAACCTATTATTTACCAAGATATATTGATGATAATTGAATTAAATAGTGATGAATAATTTAAGGACTCAATTAAAAATATATTATTTTTAACACGAAATGGATTCTTACACTTAACAAAAGAAAACTACCAATCAAATAAGAATGTAAAGGTAAAGAACTATACTAAAAGTGTAAAGCATTTACCATAAAAATTTTGAAACTTTGTATAAAAATATACATATATATAGGTGTAATAATAAATTTGAAATAGTTACTCCTATAGTCGGTTTGGTTCGTTTTTGTTTTTCCGGTTTTTTTCTGATTAAAACCATAACCAAACCAAATTTGATCGATTTTTCAAAATCAAAACCAAAACCAAACCAAACCAAAAAGTATCGATTTTTTTGGTCGGTTTGGTTCGATTTTTCGGGTTTTTATGAACACCCCTAGTAATGGGTCAAATGGTTTGGTAATTCCTGATGAGGGGATGAATATCAGAGCTCTAGATTTTTGTTTATCCTTTGCTGTAATAATATATCGAGATTTGTAGCGATAATTCGGTATATCTACTATACAACTATTAGCTAAAATATGTTGATAGTTAACTAATTGACGGACTGCGGGAATAGTCGAAGTCATACCCAATCGAAAAAGGATGTTATTCAAACGCATTTCATGTAATTGTAATAAAACTTGACCTGTTGACTCCTTGACTTTTCTGGCAATACAAACGTATTTAAGTAATTGTAATATATTTTTTCACGCAGTTTTTTTATTTCGCTCTTTGAATATTTTTCAAAGAAAAAATTCACTCATTTTTCAAATCTTTCAAAGAAAATTTAAAATATTTCTTAAATATCATTAAAAGTCTTTGGGTGGGTGACGATTATCTGAGGATAAAACCACTACACTGTTTTAGAACATAAGGAGTATTAAATTTTTAAAACTCATAAAAATTGTAAAATAATAGTATTTGTTGGAGTAGTATCAAATATTAGTGGCCGTCGTCCCAAGACAGAAAGAATGTCACCTGAATTGGCATGGAGTGATTAATTTGAAAGATAAAGTTAGGGATTTTCTTGACATTAATGAGTACTTTCTCAAAAAAAGAAATATATGTAAATTCCAGAGTTTAGTAACTCTTTGTTAGATAATTTGACTAATATTCTGTAAATTCCAGATTTTCGAACTCTTTGTTAGATAATTTGATTAATATTCCGGGAGATTTAATACAAAACTTTCTTTCAAGAATATGATAATTATCCCTTTTTACCGAAGGTAAGAAACAAGCGTTTATCCCATATTGTACTCGGTTGAGAGGCTACCAAATCAAATGGTTTAAATTAGTGTTAATTTCAGGCGTCTTTCTCGTAGTCTTTTCATGGCAAATGTACAAATATAGTAAAAGGAAACAATTTCCTGGATAGTGACTTTGGAGGCTGCAGACAAAATTGTTTGATCATCATTCATCATACTCATTATTCATCCATGGAAAGAGCAGGACACTACATTTTGCCCTTACCACAATTGGAAAGGCTGCTTTTTCTATCCATTACTTTCAAGCTCTTCATTATTTCACAAAGAATTTTGAGGGTATATTCCAGAAATAATATGTCATTAATAGTATTGTTGATGTGACATTTTAACTAATTATAGTCGTATATTGCATGAGACACATCTACAAGAATTCAGACAAAAGAGATGGCTTTCACAATCACGTAAAGTCAAGAGCCTTTTTGTCTCAAAGGAAATGCTATTGAGGTTGATGTTCTTTTCTGTTATTATCTTTTTTCACAAGAAACAAGTTAACGAAAAAATAATTAATTGAAACTGAAAATAAACGTTGAAATAACTTTGAAGTTTATTAGCGAAATATGCAATTGTTAATTTGGAAAGTATATTGTTGATTGAACAAGTAAATGAATGTCAATTTTTATAGTATAAGGAATAATAGTAGAATGATTTGAAACTTCTCAGGTTTTCAGACTAGTAGATGGACTAGGTTAGTAACAGTTTTGGTCAAACCTTAAGTGGTTATAAGCTTAAAAATGATAAGTGGGATGGCCAACTTATGATTTTTGGCCTATTTTAGCTTATAAGTATGTTTGATTTTACCTAACACGTAAATAAGTCAAAAGTAACTTATAAGCTGGTTAAACCAACTTATAAGCTTAGCAAAACACCCTCTTAGCATAATTACGAAAAATTGTATGTTCTACTATGTTATGAAGTTAACCTTAAAACACATTCTTTAAAATTAAACATGATTCTACTAAATAGTCGAATCCTTTTATTCTTCAAGATGAAGCCATTCAACATGTACATTTTTCTTAAAAAGAATCATTGCATTAACATAATGGCTAGGAGGATTCAAAAAGCATTATGACACTAAGATTTCAAAGTTTAACCCAAGGGCCCAAGGCCAGGCTCAGCATTCCAATACTCGGAACGTGTAAAAATTGTGTGGGTTGGCCACTTTTTAAAGTGGTATTTACTTTTTATCCAGCATTTTTAATGCTTAGCAATAGTAGCCACTAGTCTATTAAAATTAATATGAAAAGACTGTGTTACCCTTTCTTCTATTTTTTTCAAGTGTTAGGGAGAACTGTGCCGCAGGTTTCAAATAGATCTCCTGCTGTTAACTTTTCGTCATGAGCTTATTAATTACAGAAACAAATTTTATGCTACTGCTAATTAATAGACTTGGAATATCTGTTTGCTTCCATTTCGCAGTGTATGTAAACTCAGCATCGACTTCCTTATCTTCTGTCAGACCCAAAACAGAATGTGGATCCGTTCTTGCTGTGATCTCAATAACACGATCCTTATTGTAAAGGATATCGAAATGTATGTGTTTGTACAGAAAGTATTTGTAGTCTTTTGGATCATCTGTTTCTTCTCTATTCTCAACTCGTCCAATAAGACCCCATATGGGCAACTCCTCATAATACATTTCAAAGTAATAGTCTTTATCTACTGCTCTTCGGAACTGAGCTACTTCTTCCTTTGTTAGCTTCTTCCTACAAAGAATTTTCAAGTCTTTCTCTATTATCCTTATTGTGTGTTTGCATTTAATTTATTTTGTGTTAAAATAAATTAAAAGTTAAGGACAATAGGTCCTGAACTTAGGCTAAGAAGCCCAAAAGTTAAGGACAATAGGTCCTGAACTTAGGCTAAGAAGCCCAAAAGTTAAGGACAGACAGTCCTTAACTTACAGTTACAAATTCAAAAGTTAAGGACAGACAGCAGTGACAAGTTCAAAAGTTAAGGACAATAGGTCCTTAACTTTGATTTTCAAGTTCAAAAGTTAAGGACAGACAGTCCTTAACTTACAGTCACATCCAAAAGTTAAGGACAAACAGTCCTTAACTTATAGTTACAAGTTCAAAAGTTAAGGACAGAAAGTCCTTAACTTACAGTTACACGTTCAAAAGTTAAGGACAAGCAACTTCAAAAGTTAAGGACAATAAGTCCTTAACTTTGACTTAGAAGTTCAAAAGTTAAGGACGCTTGGTCTTGAAGTTTGAGTTCCAAGTTCAAAAGTTAAGGACATGTAACCTTGAAGTCCTGAACTTAGAGTTCCAAGTTCAAAAGTTAAGGACATGTAGTCCTGAAGTCCTGAACTTAGAGTTACAGGTTAAAAAGTTAAGGACATATAGTCTTGAAGTCCTGAACTTAGAGTTTCAAGTTCAAAAGTTAAGGACATGTAGTCTTGAAGTCCTGAACTTAGAGTTTCAAGTTCAAAAGTTAAGGACATGTAGTCCTGAGTCCTGAAGTCCTGAAGTTAAGGACATGCGCAGAAGGGTATTTTCGTCCGGGCAGTTAAAGTTTATTAAACCAGTGGCTAAAGACTAAAGACATTTAAAACACTGGCTTTAAAATAAAGACATGAGCCGTTAGTGGCTATTTGTGCACATCGCAATTGATTTTTTGAACAAAGAAGTATGCAATGGAAGTATGGAATCAGGTGAAAATATGCCTGAATCTGATCTTCATGGAAAAGGCTTACAGCTGGGAAGAGAATATGATCAAATGCAAGTTCGCGAACAAGATCATAAAATGGACAGTTTATCTGAAAGCTCTAAGAAAAGATCCCGGTTGCCTACTAATGATGTGAGTGTTAATATCTGAACTTGTAATGTTTCATCTTGTTATTAATTAGTTTCTGAATATATTTCTGATATCTAATATAGGTGCCGAAGAACAAGAGAAGTGTAAAGCCAAAGAAGAATATGAAGAGTATTGTTGATGATGAGATTGGAAATAAAGAAAACAATAGTAATGTGCTTCACAGGCAGAGTTCATTTAGTTGCTGCTCAGAAGATGAATCTAATGTTTCTAATTATGATTTATATGGATTGGCTTCGAGCGATAACTCAAAAGGAGTTTCTGCGCCCCTCAACTCAATTGGAAAATCCAGAGCCAGTAGGGGCTCAGCAACTGATCCCCAGAGTCTATATGCAAGGGTAAGCATCAACAGTTGGTCGTTAATAAGCTTTTTTCTTGTACTGAAAGTGCTTATCAATCTGCCACAATATGACTAAATTAGGATATTTCTTTCTCTTATTACAGAAAAGAAGAGAGAGAATTAATGAGAGATTGAGGATCTTGCAAAGTCTCGTCCCTAACGGAACAAAGGTATGTGGAGTAGTAGTACTAAGTGAAACTGCATCAATTAATGGTCATGTAATTAATCTGCTGTGAAAATTAGAATCTGATTAGCAAGGTAATCATAATATATAGGTTGATATTAGCACCATGCTTGAAGAGGCAGTCCAGTATGTCAAATTTTTGCAACTCCAAATTAAGGTAAGATATGTCTTCACAAACTATTTAGGATGCAGGTTCAATTGAGCTCATTATTTCAGCTCAAACGTTGTATATATATGTAAAAAAAAATTATAATCAGGTGACACTTATTCTTAATTCACTTTATTTAGATCCTGATTGTTTTTTGTTTGGATGATGCAACTCTTGAGCTCTGATGATCTATGGATGTATTCTCCCATTGCATACAATGGAATGGACCTTGGACTTGACCTGAAGATTGGCATTCCAAATTCATAAATTGAAACTAAAGCTCAAGGCATGGTTGTGGTGGATTTCTATATTAGTGGATTGAGAGCATTATCATACACGTACGGGATGGCAAATTATAGCAACTTTTATAATTTTCTATTTAACAATTAACTAAAACACTTTGGCTATTATTCTGTTATCCATGACCTAATCATTCTAATAATCAAGATTTAAGTGTAATAATTTCCTCTCTGGCTGCCACCACAACATGATGGAGGTTTAGATGTTCTATTTGTTCAGCATTGTCTCATAATGTTGGGGTTATCGGGAAAGGGTTTAAGTTATATACATTGTCAAGATAAAGAATATCTTCACGATATATCAATGTAATTTAACCTATTACTTATATATAACAGGTAATTACTCTATTGTCCAGCTTATAATATCATACTTTTTATGAAGAGTTAGATATTATCATGGGCGGATCCACATATATCCTTGTGGGTGCTAGAGCACCCGTTGCTCCCTACGCAGTGCCAATACTTTCTACCAATAATGATCAGTAATTTGGGAATTATGTTTGTTGAGCACCCATCAACAAAGAAATTTAGTGGGTGCTTTGGTCTTCGAGGTTGCTGAAGTAACGGTTGTAAAGAAAATTGTGCCGAATTGAATATTGTGGCGTGCATTTATTTACTTTCATTTCAACCCATTCTTTTTTTCTACCTTTTACCGTAAATTGCTTGCCTCTTTTTCCCCCCTCAAGAATTGTTTTCCTTTTTACTCTCTTTGTCATTTTTACTTTCTTTTACCTTTCCTTTTATTTTCTTTTCAATTTTTACTATCTTTTCCATTTCCTAAACCTGCTATTCTCCAATACAGAATGTCCTTTTTTTCTTGTTGCTTTATTTCTCTATTTGCTCTCTTTTCTTTTTTTTACTTCTTTTCTTCCTCTCTCGGGTTCCAACAATTTGACTTTTTCCTCGAGATAATTCTCGTTTCACTTGTCATTTTTCCGGTATGACTTTTGAGGCCGAAAGTTAATCTAATATAGCTTAAATTTATTCTTATTCATTTGTGTAATAAAATTAAAATTTTCAATCCATATTTAGACTAGTCGTGCACTAAATTTTGATGTTGGAATAAATTTATTGTAACTAATAATGCTATTATTCATCGCCTTTCAAAATATCAAAACTCCAAAGACAAATGTAGATATATTGATCCTTTAATGATAATATTAAATATGTTTGTCAAATATTTATACTATCAAGTTTGAAATAGTTACGCAATTATAATTTGCGGTTGTAATAAGTTTCCGTAAAGGCATTGGAGCACCCCACGACTTTAAAATCCTAGATCCGCCACTGGATATTATTGCACGTTAACTTAATGTGGTGGTATGAAAAGTTTATGAATTATAACTGACGTGAACTTGTTAGACTGACGTGATAACCAACTACACCACGAAACCACCCTTCAACAGAACTTGTTCAAAGATATATAGTTGTATAGACTAAAAGTAGTACTAAAATGGTTCATAGCGACACTACTTATTCTGGTTTTTCATACCAGCATATCTTCTTCATGCTTGTGACCTTCATTTGGCCAAACCAGTGGTTATCTACTAACATTCTCAGGTTAATAACATTGTGACCTAGAGAATTCTATACAGCTTGCTTCATTTAACTACATTTGTCCTAGTAGATATGTACATACATAGCTTAAAAGAGCATAGATGAACGTGCTTGAACAGAGAAAATATTTTGATGAATCACAGTTCTTTTCATTGTCCTAGACACCTTCACAGGGTTGTGTCAGATTGTGTACTAAAATGGACCATTGCAACGTAACCTGCTTAATTCCCCTTCATCTTCTTTCACTTTTTTCCCTTTCATGTGGAAATGGATATCAGATAGTGGGAGAAGAAAAGGTAGGCGAAAGAACATGATGGAGGTTTAGATGTCTTTTTTCAGCAATGTCTCATAATGTTGGGTTATCGGGAAAGGTTTATGTCATATACATTGTCAATATAAAGAATGTCCACGATATATATCAATGTAATTTAACCTATTACTTATATATAACAGGTAATTACTCTATTGTCTAGCTTACAGTATGGGACTTTTTATGAAAAGTTACATATTATTGTACGTCAACTTAATCTGATGGTGTGAAAAATTTATGAATTATCACTGCAAAAACCTAAACTGTATGAGAAAAGCTGAACTTCTAGTTCATTTTCAGCTGAAAATTCGCTACCTTTGTTCTAAATTCCTATGCTATTGCTATTTTGGGAGGTGTTGAATGGTTTCTTGCCCTATTATATAGGGTTTTTTGGTAAACAAAAGAAATTTTATTACAAAATAGCGTTTTGTACATGAAAGAAAAAAAAAATGCAGATGCATCTTCAATCTGCAGCACATCATCGCAATAACTACTCAACCTCCAGCTAGCTATCTATTACAGATCGCATTCATAAGAATAATAATTCAATTGAGCNTATTTCATCAACATGTCACATTTGAACCCACATTCATCATTGCTACTAGTCCACAGCTCATACTCCACACGATCATCTGGGTGGGGCACAGCTTCTCTCCAATCAAGATTCACATTAACCATTTCTCCTGCACTCACAGCTTTCTTCAACTTCTCTGCAAAGCTTTTCTCAATAAGGGCAGATGGTATTGTTATGTTCTCAACGTATTTTGCAGAAGAACCATCCGCTTCAGGTGTATCCATGGTTATCAGCCTTTCGTCAACATCATCTGCAACTAGAACTGCAGCGGCGCCCGCATTTTGGGCATTCCAGACCTTCAGAGCGAAGAAGCAATCTGCCAACAAGAAAAACAGTAACTTCCCATAACTCGTGATAATTTTACAGATGACCTCTTTCTCAATATAAAAGAGTACATTGACTTAACATATCAATCCCCAATTACTGCTCAAAGTATTATTGAACTATGACTCCTCCTGGGATCCAAATTTTCATTTCCAAAATTTGAAATGAAAATTATAATAGGAAAAAAGAAGAAAAAAGAACAGAAAGTTTGACTAGAAAGAGTTGAGGGACTCAAAATCAACAATGACGGTAGCCTATGTAACGCAAGCCAGCTGAAAACAATAAAGCATTCAAATTTATCAGCCACTGTTAGGGAAAACTAACAAGTACTACAAATGATATGACACTTAGAAACAGTCGGAAGAAAAGCAATGGGATACTTCAAGAACTAACATATCAACTTCGTATCATTAACTTAAACCAAAAACTACTGATACGGTCCAAAGAATGACAATTAGAAAATTCCCCAAAATAACAAAAATAAACTGAGACATCAACGCAGTGACAAGGACCAAAACAACAACAACAAACTACAACCACACCTCAATATCAAACTAATTGGCCGAAAATATGAATCCTCAATATCCATTCAACTCAATTTACACCTGTTCATTCTAATACTCAATAAATTATCTTTTTTTTTTATAACAACGACCAAGTAAAATTGCTACTCCCTCCATCCCATATTATGTGATATTGTTTGATTGGAAACAAAGAAACAAGTCATAGATACTATTGTGGCTATAAATCATCTCAGTAAGGTTAACATAAAAATTTTAGAGTTGAATCATTTCTAAATAGAGAAAGGGAGTATTATTTTTCGGGACAGACTAAAAGGAAAGCATAAATTGAATCGAGGAAGTACAATTTACAAGAATGTTCTAGAAAGAGCTATGGGAGTTGGTTACATACCTCCACGATCGACGAGAACAAAGGTGGGCATAGCACCAGATTTTGACTTAAAAGAAATCCCAGAATCATCAAAATTTCGACAACCCTTTTGGTTTCCTTTTGGATAAACCACAGTACCGGGAAGACTACCACCATATTGTGGAATCCCAAAGTTGCCAATTGCACTATCGTAAGTGCCTTTAATATCATCAGGTGAGACGACCCTTAAGCTGTTTTTCTCCACTACGAAACGACCCACTACTGATTGGAATAATAGGTTCAGCCATAGAAACCCTAAAAAGATTGTAGCTTTCCAAGTTTTAGAAACCCCCATTTTCTTTTCTTGGTAATCCAAGAACGAGTATTTTAAAGCCAGTGTTTTAAATGTCTTTAGTCTTTAGCCACTGGTTTAATAAACTTTAACTGCCCGGACGAAAATACCCTTCTGCTCATGTCCTTAACTTCAGGACTTCAGGACTACATGTCCTTAACTTTTGAACTTGAAACTCTAAGTTCAGGACTTCAAGACTACATGTCCTTAACTTTTTAACCTGTAACTCTAAGTTCAAGACTTCAGGACTACATGTCCTTAACTTTTGAACTTGGAACTCTTATTTCAGGACTTCAAGGTTACATGTCCTTAACTTTTGAACTTGGAACTCAAACTTCAAGACCAAGCGTCCTTAACTTTTGAACTTGTAAGTCAAAGTTAAGGACCTATTGTCCTTAACTTTTGAACTTGCTTGTCCTTAACTTTGTAACGTGTAACTGTAAGTTAAGGACTGTCTGTCCTTAACTTTTGAACTTGTAAGTCAAAGTTAAGGACTTATTGTCCTTAACTTTTGAACTTGTAACTGTAAGTTAAGGACTGCTTGTCCTTAACTTTTGAATGTGTAACTGTAAGTTAAGGACTGTCTGTCCTTAACTTTTGAACTTGAAAATCAAAGTTAAGGACCTATTGTCCTTAACTTTTGAACTTGCTTGTCCTTAACTTTTGAACGTGTAACTGTAAGTTAAGGACTGTCTGTCCTTAACTTTTGAACTTGTAAGTCAAAGTTAAGGACTTATTGTCCTTAACTTTTGAACTTGCTTGTCCTTAACTTTTGAACGTGTAACTGTAAGTTAAGGACTGTCTGTCCTTAACTTTTGAACTTGTAAGTCAAATTGTCCTTAACTTTTGAACGTGTAACTGTAAGTTAAGGACTGTCTGTCCTTAACTTTTGAACTTGTAAGTCAAAGTTAAGGACTTATTGTCCTTAACTTTTGAACTTGTAACTGTAAGTTAAGGACTGTCTGTCCTTAACTTTTGAACTTGAAAATCAAAGTTAAGGACCTATTGTCCTTAACTTTTGAACTTGTAACTGCTGTCTGTCCTTAACTTTTGAACTTGGAAATCAAAGTTAAGGACCTATTGTCCTTAACTTTTGAACTTGTAACTGTAAGTTAAGGACTGTCTGTCCTTAACTTTTGGGCTTCTTAGCCTAAGTTCAGGACCTATTGTCCTTAACTTTTGGGCTTCTTAGCCTAAGTTCAGGACCTATTGTCCTTAACTTTTAATTTATTTTAACACAAAATAAATTAAATGCAAACACACAATAAGGATAATAGAGAAAGACTTGGAAATTCTTTGTAGGAAGAAGCTAACAAAGGAAGAAGTAGCTCAGTTCCGAAGAGCAGTAGATAAAGACTATTACTTTGAAATGTATTATGATGAGTTGCCCATATGGGGTCTTATTGGACGAGTTGAGAATAGAGAAGAAACAGATGATCCAAAAGACTACAAATACTTTCTGTACAAACACATATATTTCGATATCCTTTACAATAAGGATCGTGTTATTGAGATCACAGCAAGAACGGATCCACATTCTGTTTTGGATCTGACAGAAGATAAGGAAGTCGATGCTGAGTTTACATACACTGCGAAATGGAAGCAAACAGATATTCCAAGTCTGTTAATTAGCAGTAGCATAAAATTTGTTTCTGTAATTAATAAGCTCATGACGAAAAGTTAACAGCAGGAGATCTATTTGAAACCTGCGGCACAGTTCTCCCTAACACTTGAAAGAAATAGAAGAAAGGGTAACACAGTCTTTTCATATTAATTTTAATAGACTAGTGGCTACTATTGCTAAGCATTAAAAATGCTGGATAAAAAGTAAATACCACTTTAAAAAGTGGCCACCCCACACAATTTTACCGTCTTGTCAGGATTTGATTATTTTGGATGGTCCTAAGACCCTTTCCCTTTCCTGTCTTTATATTTACATTTCCTGTTAGACTAACTTCACAGTTTCACTTACCCTTTATCCAGATTTCACTCTTTCGGCATATTCCCAAATCAACAGACAATAGAAATAGTCAGTGGAGGCTATATTTCATATTTGAGATGGCTATCCTCTTCATGTATTCCAATGTAACGCAGAGCAGAAAATAAAATACTGATAAACCGAAAAACTCAGTTTTGTTTTTTTTCGTTTTTAGTTCTGCTACTGTGAAGCACAATATTTGAGAATCCATAAAACAAACATAACACATCAGCCCTTGAGTTAGGGACAAATGCATCTGCAAATTGATGTTGCTGTTTTAGAGTCAAATCAAGCTTATCGAAAGGAAAAGGAAAAAAAATACATAAAACAAACTTACTGCCAGAAAGGAAATCAGACCAAGCTCTTGTTCTAAACAACACATTGTTCTCCACTTTATAATCAACATAATTTAACTGCCATAACAAAGCAAGAACACGGGACGAGAGGCGTGCTGTTCTATATGTATACTTCTTCAGTTAAAGCTGATAATAACCAGACCACAGATTTTCTAAGATTACATAAGAAAATTACACTTAAGTAAAAGAATTACAAAAATAAAAGATAAGTACATTATATTCCAACTCCCTTGCTCGGAAGTAGGCAACAATTTTTGCTCTCTCCATCCAGCAACTATTCACTAGAATACTGTAATTAACTGTTGCTTGTAACAGTTGAAGTATCCGTGTATGTGTCTGTGTCTATGTCTATATATATGTGTATATTATGTGTGTATGAGTGTGCATATAACATACATTAGAGATTTATTAGTAACCAGAAAAGCATCTCACCATTCCTAACATCTCTTCCAGATTATGGTAAAGTGCTTGAAGTGACAGCAATTGACAATCTTTCCTGGAACACCTAATAAAATGTATAACATGTGATATAAATGAATATATGGCATGATAATCTATGGAAAACTGGAAAAAAGAACAAGGAATATATGCCAAGATTCCATCAAAAAATTCTGGTATAGGCTGCAGAAAAAGAATGCTGGCCACTGCTCATTACCATTCTGAAGTGCTCCAACTCTTTACCAAGCTCTGCCTCAAAGTCTTTCACTGATGGCAGCACATTATCAGGGGAGGGCAAATTTCCTGCTTCAAGCACCTACAGCATTTGTGGTGTAAATTACGTGACAATGCAAATGCTTAAACTTATAAGGATGCATAGTCAGGAAAAGAAGTATGCATTTACTTCTACAAACAATTTTAATTATTTAATATTGGTCCCAGCTCAAATTTATTTACATGAATACATAAGGGTTGTAGCATATGGAGAAAAACTTCCATGCAGCTAAGCTAATTCTTAGATTGCTGAGGTTAAACCTGTGTCTTTAATTAGCTAAAAAAAGAGGTACTTCGGAGTAGGTCACACTTTTCATCCTAGACAAATTGGAGTTCGTCAATATTAGTGTTTTTGAGTCCAATTGATTAGAAGCATCTAGGTATATAGAATTTATTTGTGCCAATACTTGTAACCAGGATGTTGATGATGATGTTCTCTTCGTCTTTTCTTTATAATATAGTTTACCAAAATAAAGTAGAGCAAATGTGTCAAATGGTCCACTCGTCTGAACCACTATGTCCTCAACAACAGTTATTCATCACTTGATAATAAAATAAAAATTAGCCTTCAGAAGGTAAATTCCACCTCAAGCAACTTTTGAGAATTGAGATTGTTGTCTAACAATTAAAAATTTGGATCAAGAATAAAAGCAGCAAATGTGAATCAATAACCGAAACATATCATGTATCTTCAGATGACAATGGGACTTGTTGCCACTGAGAGGAAAATATCAGATCGACAGAAGATATAACACATGATAAAATGTCAGAGGCATTTTCGCCTCCTTCTATAGCATTAAGAAGTTATACCACAAGAGATCAACTGAACAGAATCACATGGGTTCCTAGAAGATATAAGGAAGAGAAACATAAGGATGACTGTAAAGGTGATATACCAATTTAAATCCTTCACAGGTATGTGAGAATTCCACATTGTCGATGTTGACCAACTGAAGTTGTTCTACTGAAGCAGATACACGTAGAATTGCACAAAGAACTCTGAATTTCCCTCTCATCTAAGGTAGAAAGATAAGGGTTAAACAAACATAAGAGCTTCCATCTATGCTAACATGGTATCTGCATTTGACTTATTCATGTCAATTTACTGACATGGGTGTCGGTACTTCATGCATATCTACAAAATATATTCAAAAAATTGCTAAAAGTTCGACATATACATTAGGGGTGTTGGTACTTAGAGCAGATTCTTCAAAGTTAACATAACTTGCTAAAAACTGAACGTATGCATACCAGATACACACCCATAATGGAGTTAGAGAGTGTACGTCTCTATAGCACAAAAAAATTAAGATAGCTCTTGGTCAAAACACAATATGATACCTCTTCTGTTAATTCCTCAAGCACAACATGATCACACTTGAGAAGTTTCTTTCTATGGTGCCGCACAAGTAGAGCTATTAACTGGAGACAGACGAAAATGCCATCAGTTTTCAATCTGAATCTTATTCTGAGTAAATAAGGGAGACACCATACCTTAACCTCTTCATCATTATAACCATGCAGATGGTCGCCATTCTGCACAGTGAGTTATGCTTGTCATAATAAACTACATGGCACTCCCAATAACTATTTCTCAAGGTAGATAAGAGGACTGAATCAGCTGAATCCAGATAACTTAATCATCAATCAATGACAGAGGCCTCAGAATATCTATCCCTCTATATCTCTATCTTTCATATGAGAAACTATGGCCTGTTTGGTTTGGATTAGTTCAGCCGATTTAATCAGTATGTTTATTTAATTCTTTTTTATAATCAATTAATGTTTCGTTACTGTTTAAAAAATCGCCTTTCTCAAAAATGACTATCATCTCAGTGAAAGTTATTTATTAAATTACCTAGCTATCACTATTCCACATCAAAATCAGTTTCAAAAATATAAACCAAACAGGCCATGACACAGCTATAATTATGCAATGCTACTCATTTGAAACTCTTACACGCAAATACACCAATCAAATCTTTTTGTCACTTTATGCTCGCAACATTACATGCACAAAAATTACCAAAACTCCTTCACATGCAATGGCACAGAAATTTATCTGAATCTTCCGAGTAGAGAAATAAACACATACCATTATAATATGGTAAGACTGCTTATGGTAGCCCTTTTTACCAACATAAAGACCGACTTTGTGAAGCAAACAAGCTGCCTCAAGATACTCAAGATCTTTATCCTCCAAGGATACAACGAACCCATCAGAACCATTGCCTGTTTCATACCATTTCCTCAAACCATCAAACATCTCCTACATCAAGAACATTAAGAATATCATCTCAAAAACAATATTTCCCCCCTAAAAATATGGAACCAGAGATGGTGAACTTCTTATTGTTTCCCATTCCGAATTATCAAATACCTTCGCAACACAATAGCACAACGCAGCAGATTTCATGCGCTGCTTGTTATTAAACCTTGTCGCGAGCCTCACTACAGACCTCCACCTCGCATTAGCCCTCGGATCATAGTGATTAAAAACCTCCCCTAACTTCTCCGCAATCACACCCTCCCCTAATGCATATCCAGAAACCTCCATCTCCTCAATCTTAAGTTCCTTAAATATCTCCTCCAATAAAACTGCCCCTGCCACAATAAATTCTGACCTCTTCTTGAAAAAGCCCTGCCTTTGAACCTTCCCCCCAACTCTTCTCTCTTCCTCGCTCAGCCTCTCCACTAAGCCCCTCAATTCTTCCATTGTAAAACTCCAATCCCTCCTGCTTTCCTCAAATATGCCGACATTTCCCTCCATATTACTTGCATAGCCATGGAAAATCGCCTTCTCAATATTCCTAATCGTCCCTGATGAACCAATCACTTCATCAATATCGTAATGCTTAGCCTTCTTGTTCAAACCCGAGGCTTGGATTATTCCCTTAATATGTTCCCGCATTAGTGTAATTTCAGGAAATTTTTGAGTTAAAGTGACATGCCCCAACGCTAGTGAAATGGAGAACAGAATGTTGCCCTCTTTTCCAATTACGAACTCAGTAGAGCCACCTCCTATGTCAATTGTAAGAACTGTACGGTCATGAACGGGGTGGAATTGAAGTATACCTTGGTATATAAGGCGGGCCTCTTCGAGACCGGAGAGTACGTCAACTTGAAGGCCTAGGGTTTCATGAATCGATGTAAGGAATTGCGATTGATTGGAAGCTTCTCGAACAGCTGAAGTGGCTACGAGGCGGGAATGGGAGGGAGGAACGCGATGGGACTGAAGAAGATTCTGGAATTTTCGAAGTGCTGTCGTGGCGCGTAGTTGGGAGGCAGTGGAGATAGTGGCGGAGGTAGTGGTGGTGGTAGTATCAAGGCCGAGGAGTACTCTTTCCTTAAACCGATCGAGGGTGAGGAAACGGCCGGTGGAAGGGTCGGCGCGAACTATGAGGAGCTTGAAGGAGTTGGTGCCGAGGTCTACGGCGGCGAAGAGGTTATCTCTGGTGGCGGGAATTGAGGTGGCGTTGGGAAGAATTGGGAGATTGGCCGACATTTATTCCGGCGTCGACTGAAGTATGCCAATTGTTCCTCTATTTAGCTATCGCTTTTTTCCTTTCTGACAGCTTGCTTTCCCGCATATAAATCCCGCATAAATTATTTGCCTGGTGCGACTTATTAATTACATACTATCTTATCAGTCGCATTAGATGGATGCGTATTATAAATCGCACTAATAAGTCACTAAATCGCCTTACTAATGCCTCTTGTGTATGCCACTTATACATCACATTTATGCCAAAAACACCCTTAACAACGACTTGACGAACAAACCTAAAAGTAAATTGAAGGAAATAGATAATATACCCTAATTTATATAGAGTACAATAAAAATTCCTCTTTGAGAAGAAAGAGTATATACACGAGTAGGGGTGTTCATAAAAACCCGAAAACCAAACCAAACCGACAAAAAAAACTGGTACTTTTTGGTTTGGTTTGGTTTTGGTTTTGAATTTTAAAAACCGATCAAATTTGGTTTGGTTTTGGTTTTTATCGGAAAAAAACCGAAAAAAATCGAACCAAACCGACTATAGGAGTAGCTATTTTAAATTTATTATTACACCTATATATATGTATATTTTTATACAAAGTTTTAAAAATTTTATGGTAAATGTTAATAGTTTGCCACTTTTAGTATAGTTCTTTACCTTTACATTCTAGTTTGATTGATAGTTTTCTTTTGTTAAGTGTAAGAATCCATTTCGTGTTAAAAATAATATATTTTTAATTGAGTCCTTAAATTATTTATCACTATTGATTCAATTATCATCAATATATCTTGGTAAATAATAGATTTTTCAAAGGGCAATTGATTTGATAGTGTTACGTTGAAAATATGGTCGCCGGAGTATGTGTTTGGTAGTGTATGTCTTATATTTAAGAAAAAACCGACAAATAACCGAAAAAACCAAAAAACTGAAAAACCGACAAAACCCGACATAAACCGAATCGAGAAAAAAACGACTTAATTGTTTTGGTTTGGTTCTAATATTTGAAAAACCGACTTACTTGGTTTGGTTTATTTTTAGGGAAAAACCGATCCAAACCGAACCATGAACACCCCTATACACGAGTATATCCAATCTCTAGCTGAAACCAACCAAGATGTATGTCATATTGCCCGGTCTGACCTCAAACTTTTTCTTTCCGACCTACTTGACTCTTTGACCGAAGTTATTTAGGTGGTATTCCGAGATCCAACTCTAGGAACACATGATCAAAAATGACTTTCACTAGAAGTTGAAAAGAAACTTATTTTAATATATTCTGACTATACGGTATATTTAGAAAGTAAATTAAAAAACTAACAGAAGTCAAATCTTGAAGAATTTAAGATTATTACTCTTAATTCTATTCTTGCAAAAGTAAGTCTCTTTGTCAAGTTTGATCACTGTTGGGAAGAGTAGATTGCCAAAAGTATACTCTAGCCGACTTTCTTTTTGTTGGAAAAAGAAAAATCTTTCTCCTTTTCGATCTTTTCCTTTTGAAAATATCCTGGAGTAGCAACGTGTACCATTACTTTCCCCTCACAACATTACAAATGAAAACTCGCCTATTATTAAGTTTTCAAGCATATATCCCTCTCTTTTTTAATTATTTGTATCATTATTGTTTTGTTTATTTAAAGATATGGTTATGGTACATGTACGAAAACCGTCAACCTCGTCATGTAAACTGCTGCTTTGTACACAAACTTGAAGAATGGCAAATATAGCCTGTGTAACCGAGTGAGCCAAATTGATTCCTGCAATGTGCTTTTCTAAGTTCAACTTGTTCACAAGCTCATTTACTTTCTCTGATATCAAAGTGTCAATTTTTAATAGTAAAAACTTCATACCGAACAACTCATGCAAACTGCTGTAAGAACTTATTTGCACCAAGCGTTTACAACCAAATCTATTCATGGTGTAATGTGTATTAATTAATTATGGTCTAATGATAACTATATATTTATAAAAACATGCGGCATGTATGTACTGTTTCGTTTAAACGCAGGTAATGTTTTACCCAAATCTATAATCCATACCAACATGCTATAGCGAATCCTTTCAGTTGCACATATTAACCCCGATCCCAAGTGAGAGTCATTGGAAGTACAACCGGAAGGGCAGCCCGGTGCACTAAGCTCCCGCTACGCGTGGGGTCCGCAGAAGGACCGAACCGCAAAGGTCTATTGTACGCAGCCTTACGCTACATTTCTGCAAGAGGCTGTTTCCACGGCTCGAACCCGTGACCTCCTAGTCACATGGCAGCAACTTTATCAGTTACGCCAAGGCTCCCCTTCAGAATACCCGATTTGCTTCAGCATTGGCTTCCTATACTAGCATACATTCATTTTTCGTTCATCACCGGTGCGGATTCTCTTGAAACAATAAAATAATGGCTACAAAATTTAACATCTTGAAACTTCAAAATTGGGAAAACATTAGAAATGTCACACACAATTCTTCAGCGAATCGCCAGCACCCTGGAAGAAACAACAAGAGAGAGCAAAGTCAGCTATGAATATGCCAACAAGAGATAAAACTACTGCTGAAGTAGTCGACTCTCCAACCCCTTTGGCACCTCCCAATGTGGTGACCCCCCAAGCACAGCTTATGATGGATATAATAGCACCAAACACCCCTGATTTAATCATTGCACTAATAAGGTCCCATGATCTAAGAGCTCTCTGAGCAGAATCCAAAATTATGTTTATGCTAATTCCATAAACGCCATCAGCCAAAAGGGCGCTGGATGCCATACCAACTGTAAAGCACATTAGGGTTAAAAAAGGTAAGGCTATGCAAGACGCAATCACTCTTGGTGTCACCAAATAATCAACAGGATTTGCACCGAGAACTCTCAACGTGTCAGTCTGCTCAGATACCTGCATAGTGCCCAGTTCAGCAGCAAATGCACTACCGATACGCCCAGCAACTACAATTGATGTGACAACTGGACTTAGCTCTCTTGAAAAGGCAAGGGCCAATACCCCACCAACAGATCTGTTTAACCCTAATCTAGTGAACTCTCTAACAAATTGGATAGTGAAGGCCATGCCGACAAAAGCTGCTGTTAGCAGACAGACACCAACCGACTTAGGTCCAACTCTTTCCAACTGTTGAAGAGTATTCCTCCAGTGGACTTTACCCTTTATGATCCTAATAATAACCTGCCCTGCCAAGATAGGAACTGATAGTCCCCTCCATAAGTACCTGGGAGGTGACCACTTACTCAAAAATGTTTCTCCTCCATTTTCCCATTCTTCCACTGTAGATGCATCCTCTTTAGATGCAGTTGTGTCCTCTTCAGAGACAGGAAGACTTGGATGACCATCATTAGAGTTAGGAATCACACAGAATCTTTTCAGTTTGATAGGTTTTAGAACCTTACAGATCTGAGCTCCTTGATTGAAGTCAAATCTCTGAGGAAGCCAATTCAAGCTCAAAACGTTTACATTTACATGACTCACCTTACTATAGCTGCCTCTGCAATCCATATAAAGCTACTGTAAGACAATCTATGTGATGCAGTCTTATTTTGAAAATCCACATCAGTAACCATGTGCAGTAAATGGAAGGTGAACATAAATACATCAAGTTGCATATTATACATTTACAGACACATAATAGCAAGTAAACATACACTTCACATATATACACAAAACCAAAAGGCAAAGAGAGAGAACCTTCCGGAAAAGTGAAGAGGATAACAATGAGAAGCAGCTTGCATGTTGGTTTTGAACTAGGGCCCTTTAAGTGAAATCTTTGGTCTTTTAAGTCACTCGCAGCACAAGAAAATGACCTGCTTTAAGTAAAATGGAGCGTTAAATCATTACAAATTTAGAATCTCAACCCCAAGGGAGTACATAATTTTAGGTAACAAGATTTGCAATGAAGCAAGCAGATGGTGTCAGTGAAATATAAGACATCTGATGTAGAAATCTGAGACCTTGGGAATACAAAGAAGAGCAAGTATCTTCTACAGTCAGCATCATCATATGTCATCAGGAACATCACAACGATGGAGGGAAGCCCTCCCCGTCAAAGTGGCACCTACACTTTTGGCCCTCTGGCCCTCTACTAATTCTTGTGGCATTTTGACCTTTAAAGAAATAGAATTTCATCTTCACAAAGATAGTCAAAAAATTATGACAGGGTAAGCTAATAGGTAACTTTTCAAATGCACTTTGAAGCCATTAATCAATCTAATAGAATTTCATCTTCCAAGTCAACATTCTGGGTTAATAAAGCCGGATTAATTATTTAAGGGGGCATCGCTCTAATCGTTTATGTAGTAACATTCCTTTTGAATGCCTAGGTTGTAACCTTTATAGCGATAGCGCGTCAAAAAAGATCTTTCGATCAGAAAAAGGTAAAGCCTTCAGCATTCTTTACTAGAAGGCTTTTTTTTCTCAACTAGATAGTGTTTTTGTAAACGATCAAAACAAAATTAGAGATAAAATTGAGGTGAAATGACAACAAAACCAAGAAAGAACGGGACTTGCCCAAACAAAAATCCAGAACATTCCCATTTTCCACATGATGAGTCTGATACCAATTCCTACAGTTCTACCCCTTTTACTCAAATATTTCATCTGCTTCATACCAGTAACTCATATATTTCATGAACTACCTTGTACAAAAGTCAAACAAGTTCTCACTTCAACAATAAAACAAAAAGAAGGCAAGTGAAACCTGTTTTGCACTAATAATTTAGCACTGTGAAATCTCAGTTCATGAACAATACATAAGACCAAGAACTAGAATCCTCTTCAACTAAACTCATCTTACTCTATCTTTCACCAATGTGATACGAGTAGCTTGCGTCAGTGGTACCTCATGCTCGTTAAGTAGTACGGGGTAGTTAAGTTAGTTGGGAATAAGGCTGAAAACAAGTTTGAGAAATGTTTAGTTTAGTCCACTTATGTTTTAAATTATAGTTTCCAGTAATTACACATTAGCCCTATAATTTTCTGTCTTTTATACGAGAGGTCCAGGATAGCCGTTTAGGAAATGGCACGAGTGCTAGCTAGGGAATCTTTCCTCTCTCACTCTATATATTGTACTTTTTGCTCTTAGCAATCAGAGAATATTCCCTTTTATTTTGCCCTAGTTATCTTCTTCTTCCTTTATTTGTTTCATTGCATTTCCTTAGCAGCTTTTCCTTCTTTCTTTTACTGTTTCATGAGCAACTCAGAAGAAATGGGAAGCTGGTAGTAGGCCCTGATGAACACCTAAGGAAGAACATTGTACAACTGTGGCACAATTCTCCTAGTGGAGGACACTCAAGAATTGATACAGGAGAATAGCTGCCCTTTTTTATTGGAAGGGCCTAAAAGAGGATGTCCAGACTCATGTCAAGCAATGTGATTGTCACACCCCCTTTTTCCTCACTACACCCCCGGAAGAGTATAATAAAGGGAATTTTTTCCAACTTAAAGTGACAATCGAAACGGGATTGTTTATTAAGAGATTCGGAGTCGCCACTTGGGAGATTTATGGTGTCCCAAGTCACCGGTTAAAATCCCGAATCGAGAAAAGGGTTTGACTCTGTTCAACAGTCCGCGAACCAGAAATCCGAGTAAGGAATTCTATTAACCCGGGAGAAGGTGTTAGGCATTCCCGGGTTCCGTGGTTCTAGCACGGTCGCTCAACTGTTATATTCGGCTTAATTATCTGATTTTAAAACATGTTCATCCTATAGTGCAATTTAAAGTTATTTACCGCTTTTAATTAATTTTAAGGAAAATTGAACGTCGTTTAAAAGTGTCTTTGGATCGCGTCACATGAAATGCACCCGCAATCCGAAACACATTTTATCCAACGTTTTAGGATTTGGATTTGGGTCACATGAAATGCACACCCGAGTTTAGGAAGGTAAAATTATTAAAGAACGCGCCTAAAGCAACTAACGCGTTGTTAACTTTCGAGGGCCACGGAAATTCATCTAGGTGGCGCGCCTCAAATTCTAAGGATTAAATCAAAACTAATTAAACGAGGGCCATGCAATTGATATTTTGTTTGGCACGGCGCACCTCGATTTTACTCTAAAGAAAAGAAAATCGAGTTACCTTTGGAGGGCCAAGAACTATTCATGTTATCTAGTATTGTTTATGGCACACCTCTATCTATCCTTAAAGAATCGTAATAAACTCCAAGCGCGCCCAGTAATAAAGCAGATAATTGAAAATTTAGGGACGTTTATTCCAAAACCATCTTGTTGTAACATATTTAAAATTAGCAAACAAATACAAATGCATCCTGCAGGACCAATTCTAATTGACATTTTACACCTCGGAATTCACCACTCCAGATCAGAAATTATGCAAACAGGCACGGCAAAAGAATCGAAATCTTTTTCCCTATTACAAGTTACAATCTTACTTTTGTCTTTATGGATGTAACATAAGATTTCACCAAATACGTACAACTTATACACATGTAACTTAATGGTACACCTGTGCCTAATGTCACAACCTCATCCTTGAATTGTAGCCAAATATCTAAGTCACAGAAATACCAACAAACTGGGACAGCCGGTATATTGGATCAACAAGACAAAGAAAAAGAAGTTGGAGCTGAGATCGTCGTTCAAGCTAATCTAGACATTAAATTTCTAAATATGATAAGCGATAGTTTCACTTCTACATTATCCATGAAACTTGAAATTCTACAACCAAATAAGAACAAATAATCGGTGAAAAACATATCTCCTTCACACAGGTTTCACAAGGAGAAAGATAAGGAGTCATTGACATTGTGACAACACAAAACTCAAACGGAAACAGCTCCCACACACACCACTGTGTAGACCAAAAATCCAACAGATCTTCATTCAATATCAATATATACAAAGAAGGATCATTAAAATTTAATTAAGAACTAACCTCAAAACCCCAGTAGAGGAGATCGAAACCAAACCAAAACAGAGAACCGGACCGGAAACTAACGAACGGAAACTCGGTCGAACTCGAACTCGACGACAATCGGACCCAATTCCAGTGACTCAAACCACGACCAAAAAGTTGCTTGTACTTGAACGATTTGAGACCTATTTGCAGCTGATTTCGCTGCTTCTAATGGCTGGAGTTCGGAGTTGATTCAAGCGCGTTTTCCGCTAGGATTTTGATTGGGGTTAAGGTCGTTTCTTCAGTTGTGTTTGTGTGTGACCGAACTGGAAAGGAAAGGATCGTTTTCCGTCGGGTTTCAGGCAGTGAGGTCCGGTAGTTACTGATTTTCTGAGGCTAGGGATGAGGGAGACGAAGGTCGGGGGGTGGGGGTCGTTTCTCTGTTGAAAAGCTGCGCAGCCTTTTAGCAGCTCTTCAGCGTTATTTTTGTGTATTGTGTATTTTTTTTGTCCCCCCTCCTTTAGCCGATAGGCATTAGTTTATATACATGGAATTAGGTCTAAGGTCTTTTCTTTGTGTATTTGCCAATTAATCCCTAGGTCCTTTTGTGTTAAGTTATTAGGGTTTTTTTATTTATTTTTTATCCTAAAGAAGAGTCTAGAAGGGTCCCTAGACTACACAATGTCTTTTAAAATAAGATAGAAATACTACACCATGTCAAAACTAATCCTAATTAATTAAACTAAACATGAAACTATTTTTATATTTTCGAAATTATATAAAGATAAAAAGGGTACTATTTTTTGTATTTTTTTTCAAATTTATAAAAAATACATAAACTAAAATATTTTTTGTAATTTTCATTTCTGGTAATAAAATAAAGTAAAAGAGTCAAAATGAGTTGAAATAGCTATATTAGGCCTAAATTAAATATTTGCGGGCTAAAATATAAAAAATCTTGGGGAGGGTCAAAAATCACATGTCTACAGCTAATTGCCAAAGAAGCAAGTATGAAACCACACCTTACCCAGGTCTAGTTCAGCCCCTCAAACTACCTTCACTGGCTTGGAGTAGCATCAGTATGGATTTCATTGAGGGTTAGCCAAAGACCCAAGGAAAGTCAGTCATTTGGGTAGTCGTTGACAGGTTAACAAAATATGCCCACTTCATTGGAGTGTCACATCCGTACTCAGCTGATGAAATTGCCAAATTATTCATGGAACATGTGTTCAAACTGCATGGGATGCCAGAAGATATAGTCAGTGATAGAGGCCCTATATTCACTAGTAAACTATGGCAAGAATTGTTCTCTATGCATTGAGTCACACTCAGTACTTCCACAGCATATCATCCTCAATCTGATGGGCAAACAGAGGTTGTCAATTGGTGTTTAGAGACACATCTCACGTGCTTTTGTTCTGACTCCAAAAGGACAGGTTCTCTTACTTGGCATCTGCTGATTGGTGGTATAATACCATATTCCATTCCTCAATCCAAACCACACCCTATGAAGCCCTGTATGGTCAACCCCCACCACTTCACTTACCTTACATTGCAGGAGATTCTAACATGGAAGAGGTAGATAGAAGTCTGCTCACCAGAGAGTTCAAGTATAAGCTACTGAAATACCACCTACAGAGGGCCCAACAGAGGATGGCTATATTCACTAGTAAACTATGGCAAGAATTGTTCTCTATGCATGGAGTCACACTCAGTACTAACACAACTTATCATACTCAATGTGATGGGCAAACAGAGGTTGTCAATTGGTGTTTAGAGATATATCTCACGTGCTTTTGTTCTGACTCTCAAAAGGACAGGTTCTCTTACTTGGCATCAGTTGAGTGGTGGTATAATACCACATTCCATTCCTCAATCCAAACCACACCCTATGAAGCCCTGTATGGTCAACCCCCACCACTCCACTTACCTTACATTGCAGGAGATTCTATCATGGAAGAGATAGATAGAATTTTGCTCACCAGAGAGTTCAAGTACTGAAATACCACCTACTGAGGGCCCAACAGAGGATGGCTACACAGGCTAATAAGCATAGGTCTGACGGGCAATTCAAGGAAGGAGAATGGGTGTACCTCAAAATCCAACCTTATAGGCAAATCAGTATGTCAGGCTCTCACTTCTCCAAACTCTCAGCCAAATATTATGGGTCATATCAGATCTTACAAAGAATTGGAAACGTAGCTTACAAACTATCACTACCTTCTCAACTCCTTCTGCATCCTACATTTCATGTGTCCCAGTTAAAACCTTGCCACAAGATACCTGAGAAGATCTCACACCCTCCCGTCATCGATATCTCTAGTCCCTACTGCCCTCAACCTCAACAATTTTTAGACAGACGAATGGTGCAAAAAAGGGACAAGGACATTGCTCAGGTACTTGTTCAATGGGAGCAAACAACACCAGAACAGGCCACTTGGGAGGATTATCAATCTCCAAGAACTAGATTTCCTTCTTTCCTTCCTAGAGGACAAGGAAGATTTTGACAAGGGGATCTGATACAAGTAGCTTGCGCCAGTGGTACCTCGTGCTCGTTAAATAGTACGGGGTAGTTAAGTTAGTTGGGAATAAGGCTGAAAACAAGTTTGAGAAATGTTTAGTTTAGTCCACTTATGTTTTAAATTATAGTTTCCAGTAATTACACATTAGCCCTATAATTTTCTTTGTCTCTTATACGAGAGCTCCAGGTTAGCCGTTTAGGAAATGGCACGAGTGCTAGCTAGGGAATCTCTCCTCTCTCACTCTATATATTGTAATTTCTGTTCTTAGTAAAGATCAATCAGAGAATATTCCCTTTTATTTTGCCCTAGTTATCTTCTTCTTCCTTTATTTGTTTCATCGCATTTTCTTCTTTCTTTTACTGTTTCATTGCCATTTCGTATCACAATGCATCAAAATCCCACAAATTTTCTGAACTTGTAACGAATACATTAGAAAAACATATTCGCAGAAATTACCATTATTTTTTGCCAGTTTCACCAACATTTAGCATTATCTCAGCATCAATTCGCACTCGGCACAAAACTAAATTTCCTAATATAACGCGAATTTAAAATCACTAAAATCAGGTGCTACGAAATAATTATCGAAGTTTAACAGCCACAGCAGTTCAATTCACATTTCCAGCCATACTACAATCAGTTCAAGCTAATTTCATTATTCAATTTCGAGAAAACAAGAAACTGTTGAAAGAATATCGAGAAATTGACCTTTTGGGATCCGAACTTGCTTTTGGCAGAGACAGCCTTTTTCTTCTCCACTATGCGTTGCATAGAATGTAACGACGCCGTTGTTACCCGCTTCTTTCCGGCCCCCGGAGCAGTTGTGAGCTTTCCCTCTATCAGTCCGTCGGCTATTGCCAGTCTTACTTTTCCGAATTCTTTTTCCATGTTCTTTTTTTCTCTTTTATTTTGTTTCTTCTGAAAAGAAAAGACAGAGAGATTTTGTTAGTCCCTACATTTTGTTGTAATTTCATTTTGGTACTACATTTTTAACTAAGTTTATTATCACCTCCACAGGTTAATAAATTGAATTTGTCAATAAGTTTGAAATTGTTATAAATATATATTATATTATGGATGTTCATTTAGTACTCCGTCGTAAATAAGCTTCCTGAAGAAGCTTATCATTTCGGTACTCCGTTATGGATGAAGATTACCCCGACAGAAGATTATCTATATCTAGTACAGAAGCAGCTTACAAGCAACTTACAAGCAGCTTACACAACAGCTTGCAGTAGCAGCTTACATACCAGCTTGCAGTAGCAGCTTACAGAGCAGCTTCCATTCTTCTATAAATAGAGGAGATTTCAGTTCATTATGTACATCAGTTTGGAATTCAAATAATATATCAGTTTCTCTCTATTTGTCTTTACTTTACAGTCTTTATTTTATAACACGTTATTAGCACGAGACTCTGTCATATCGAGCAAATCTTTGAAAGTATCCATTGAGAGGTTTAGGAGCAGCTCGTGATATAAGGAAAGGGGATTTGATTCTTAAAGTTCCAAACGAAGCGTTAATGACTAGTCAAAACCTTATGAATTATGATTAACGATGAAGTGCTGTCAATTTCTGTCAAGAAGAACCCTTCTCTCTCCTCTACTCAGGTGATTCCTTCTTATTTTCCTCTTTAAATATAAGAATTAGAACTTGGGTTTTGTGTTTTTTGAACTAAACGCAATAACTTTACCTTTTTCCAATTTTATATGCTCAACCAGTAGTATGAACTTTCTTGTTCTAAATATATGTTTATCATGTATGTTAATCACGTCTTTCTAGCCAACTAATGATGTAGATGTCATTTTACTTGGAAGAAATCTCGTGAAATTGGAAAGAAAAAAAATGTTTTTTCTTAAGCTATTATATGATGGCGAGACTACCCTAGTAGTTTCTGTGGAAAACGATTGGGGACTATGAATACTTATACAGTCGCTATTTTGCTGCTTATTTTCCTTTTGATTATCTTAATAAAGGATTACAAAATGGATAAAATTATTAGATTCACTTAAACTCCAGCAGAGTTTGCAAGAAATATACAACCATCGGAAGTGGTTATGTTTCGTACAACTCATTGTAACAAAATTTTGTTAACCACCACAAGTGGTATATGCCTATGACCACTAGAAGTGATAATTTAGGCTTGCTATGGTTACAACGAAGATAAGTTAGAGAAAATTTCTCTATATTACATATATACCTCGATTTGCTCCTGAAGTAGCAAATATATTAAAAGAGGTCAGACGCCATCACAATTTAATATGGTTATTGCACGTTCAGATAATTATGTTCCAACTCCTCAAGGAAGAGAACTTTTGATAATATTAATCCATTCCCTGAAGTGAATGTGATAATTTTAATAAAGCCCGTAAATATGAACACGCTCTTGATGTAAATATATTACAATTCACCTCCAGAGAGGTAATATGATTGAGAGAATATATACTCAATATTTCGTATTTTAAAGTTTCTCCTGAAGAAGTAACATAATTAAAATTTCCTTCTGAAGTAGGAAAATATTATGAAACTATGTCTTTTTGTGCTTAAATAAAATAATAAGCAATTCAAAGTTATTTTTGAAGCACATTTTCATTCACTAGAGTGAATGAAGAAATACCACAACTCACCTCCTGAAGAGGTAGAATAACAAAGAATATAAATCTTGTTTTTGTGACATAAAGATCATTGTCGCACGCGCCCGTTGTACGTCAAATATCTTGAATAATTTTATTAAATATCATTCTAAGGCAAAAGCATTCTTGTAGAATGCTTTGTACTACAACCACATTAATATGTTATGGTTAGTTATCGAGTTCCTTGAAGGAAATAACCACTCATGTAACCTTCCCTGAAGGATGTAATGAATATGTGGTTGCCGCTTTGATATAAAATATTGAGATGTTAACGATATTTCTCCTTAGAAGGAGATATTTGTCACAAATTTAGTGGTAGAAATATTAAAATTCTTAATTTTCGTCATTTATAAATTTAGAATTGGCTTTATATTGTTCTTTTGATTATGATTTTCTCTCATGACACTAGATGTGTCTGAGCAATATTTGATAGTACAAAATTTATCAAAAACTCCTTAAAAGCTAACTGTTTGTCTAGAAGACAGTCAGACAAATGACACCAATAGTGTCTGATAAATATTAGATTGTGGATAATAGACGAAGGTTCTCGAAGAGCTTATATACAAATATGTCATTCATATTATATGATTATCGTCAAAACATATGTTGTACTAAACCTGAAGTTTACCAATACAAATGGCTATCATATTGAGACTACAAATGATTGGAAGATTGAAAATCTTCATATTTCCACGATCATAGGGGGTAAAATAATATGTATGTGAGAAGTTACCCACCTTATTCTTTAATTTGTACTATATCATGTATCAGAGTAAATCACACGTTTACTATAGCAAAAGCAGTCACAGTAAATCAGAAGTTTTACGGAGGCTAAAGTAGCTACAGTAAATTAGAAATTTGCTGATACAAAAGTAGCCACAGTAAATCAGAAGTTTACCAATGCAAAAGATTATGCCATAGTAAACCAGAAGTTTACTAAGAGATAGCACATGCTGTGATAAACTTGAAGTTTTCATTTGCCATTTTTAAATGAGCTATTTGAGAATTCAGATAAGCATAAACTGAAGAACTAGAAGATTCTTCAAGAATTCTCTTGTGTTGCTTGTTCTCATAATAAATATATTATACCAGCTAAAGTTGGGACTAAGACCCCTGATTCTGAAATATATAAAAGGTGAATATGGGCCCATTCACCTATCATGTAAACCACTTATAGATGCATATATGAGATGGTTACATGTGTAATTAATGTCAACCTGCAGTTTGGTATTTGGAATTGTTTTTCTCGATTAAAAGCATAATTTTCAGATTATAAAATCAAGACAGTTCATCTTGATAATGCTGGTTTATATCCAAGCTGGTTTAGCATTGAATACCTCTTATTAATGGCTAAACCATTGCTTATGAGAATAGAGCTTCATGTGTTGGTCTAAGATTTTCTAAATTGCATCTAGAAGCACTTGTATGTATCAGATCAACAATATATGATAAGTCCTCCCCTCACAATTGGTTTAGGATCAGAAACCAAATATGTTTACTATCTTTTGTGGCGTGGTATATGATTAATTTCTCTATCATAATACACAAAGATATGTTTCCCAAAGATGATTGGGGATATATGTTAGTTTTTCTAACATTTGGGGGATGGAATAAACAGCTGAAAAATATGCTATATGAATCGAATTATCATTAATATGATCCTCACTTAGAAGATAATTCAAGTCGAATGCCAGAAGCATTTGCTGATCTAAAATTAAATATCATATTTCAGCTGCAAATGCTCCTATTAAAATTAAAGTCCATGAAGGATAAAGTTTACTACACGCATGAAGCGTAGTAAATCGACCGGTTCCAAAGGTAACAATCCTTGAAAAGGATAGGAGCAAATGATCAAAATGATCATAATGAGAAGGAAATGAGCTCTAGAAGAGCTCATGACATAACATTTCATGAAACTCCAGAAGAAGTTCAGGTACCTGAAAATAAATAAAGTAATGAGATCTCAACAATTTATGTCACTTACGAACCGATACAATATGATCGTCGACGATATATTTGATATAATATAGTGCACAATACTGTGAGGATCGGACTAATAGTCCAGACACCTGAAGATCTCATGCCATTTAAATGCAAGTCGTAACCTATATGACTCATTTGATTAAATATCTATAAAGATCCCTGAAGGATTTAAAATGCCTGAAGCATATAGTTCAAAGTCTCGAGAAATGTACTCGATCAAATTATAAAGATCTTTGTACGGTTTAAAGCAATCTGGGCGTATGTGGTATTATCGCCTCAGTGAATATTTGCTGAAAGAAAGTTACATATATAATGTTATTTGTCCATATACTTAAAATTTGATATACTTGCTGTTTATGTTAATGACATAAATCTCGTTGGAACTCCAGAAGAGCTTCAAAAGGCAACTGAATATCTTAAGAAAGAATTTGAGATGAAAGATCTTGAAAAGACAAAACTTTGTCTTGGTCTGCAAATTGTACTCTTTTTTCTTGACTAAGGTTTTAATGAGGCACATAATAATGAACATCCAAAGAGGAATGCTTTGAAAATATTTTTGTGGATGCCCATTTATTACTCCGTTGTAGATAATCTTCCTGAAGAAGATTATCCATTTAGTACTCCATTGAAGTTTTCTACAAGCAGCTGATGCAGGTAAGTTGCAAGGAACTTAATGAAATGACTTGTACCAGCTTCTTGGTTTGATGAGAATAATTTAAATCGATCTGAAATAGTGGTGGATAATATTCTCTACAAACTCAATTTTTTGAGAAGATGGCATACAAGATTGGAATGCGGATATTCAAATATTTGAAACAAGGTTTTCATCAGGGGGAGTAAAATACGCGATGCACTCTTTTTTCCTTACTAAGGGTTTTTCCCACGGGGTTTTCCTTATAAGGTTTTTAATGAGGCACATTATCTTTTTATGAACATCCAAGGGGGAGTGTTATAAATATATATTATATTATGGATGTTCATTTAGTACTCCGTCGTAAATAAGCTTCCTGAAGAAGCTTATCATTTCGGTACTCAGTTATGGATAAAGATTACCTCCGGCAGAAGATTATCTATACCTGGTACAGAAGCAGCTTACAAGCAACTTAGAAGCAACTTACACAGCAGCTTGCAGTAGCAGCTTACACACCAGCTTGCAGTAGCAGCTTACACAGCAACTTCCTTTCTTCTATAAATAGAGGAGATTTCAGTTCATTATGTACATCAGTTTGGAATCAAATAATATATCAATTTCTCTCTATTTGTCTTTACTTTACGGTATTTATTTTATAACAGAAATGTTATTGAGCTCGTCGCTGCTCAAAATTAAGGTTTGGACAGGTTTTCAAATTTTTTGTTTTAAATATCAAAACCAAAAGCGTCTGCTTTTATTTTCGGAAATTTTACATAAAATGTGTTTTGAAAGAATAGGAAACAATCCAAAGATATACTTTTCACAAAAATTAATTTAGATATTCGTTAAAAATATCTTGTTTTGATTAATCTAAACACGCGATCTTTTCTTCTTTTTTTTATTTTGAATTTTTCTTTGAAATTCTCTTAATACTATTTTACCAATAACTATTGGCCAATTAGTATACTACCATCATTCATTATCATTCACATGTATAAGTTACGTATCACCTATTTTTGTACCTAACTAAACGTTAGAACATGATACATAAAATTATATTTACACAGGAACTGGGAAGTTGCCTATATTACTTATTAGAATAAATTTCACTGGAAAAAAAAGGGGAAGTGGTTGATAATTTGTAAAACGTTTAATACTTTTATTAGTCCACACAGAGTTGCAACTTAAACATCTCTCTACTGGATAGTTGATTGCATATTTACAAATTACAACGTCTGTTTTTTTATTTAATATGTTGTACCTGTTTACCCTTGAAATTGGATAACAATTAAATTTATAATGTGATTTTAAAGATACATGAATTCACCTAATACCAATTGATAAATGTAAAGACTAGTGATAGAAATTAACAGTAAGATAAGGCAAACCAGTGTTTGAACCGAATTCAGCCCTCGAGTTGAGTACTCTCGAACCGATCGATGCAAGAACAGTTAAAAATATAACAATCCGATGAACAAGAATATAAGCTAGAGAATATCGTATTGCTTTGATATGCGTGAATGTAAGGTGTTTACAAAATGATCAGAACCCTCTTTATATAGTAAAGAAATCTTTTCTATGGTATAATTCTAATTACGGAAGTAAATCTCATGATTAGCCTAAACAATCGCCCTTGATTTGATATGTTCCACGATTTCCGCCGTGATCTTCGACCGGTCACGGATATCTCGCTTTTCTGTTATTGCGCTTTGCTCGAAGTCTGCCATATTTGATCTCGATCGTTGCTGGCCTCGATCTCAACAGGCACCTCGATCCTTGAACTCGATACCTTGTCTTCGTGCTCTGGTCTGATCTACTACGAGGCTGGCCTTCGATGCAATTCCCTGGCCTCGATCAAATAGTAAAATCAGGTAGGCTCGGTTTTAGCCGTATATAGATAGTCCCCTCGTTTCTTGGAGTGTAATGAGAAGAAACGAACTGAGTCTTTGATTTCATACCTCAATCTGTCATGACGTCATCCTCGTGACGCAAGCGACGGAAGTAACTGAAATGTCCCGTCGGTTCATATATCGAGGCATTAAATGCCTGTCAGTTGCCGTCGGCCATTATTGGTTCTGAACCGTCATCTTCACCCTATAAATGTGCTTTCCTTCTCGTTGCCCAAACTTTACTCTTGATCTCTGCTCTAATCTTCAAAGCTTTTTACATCTTTTAAGCTTTCCCGTTCTGCTCAATCTCTAGGCTTAGTTATCAACCTTCCCACAAAACACCAAGCCTTATCCTCTTCTTCTTTCGTTAAACTTGCATAAAAATGGCGAAAACATCGAAAATTGTTCCTCAAAGGAAAATGCCTCTTCATCGTGGCCGGCCGGCAATAAAACACCGGTGGAGCCACGCCCTGAGGAGTGTGTTCCCGATAGGGGGTGTGTCCTTGATTCCGACTTCAAAGTCGAGAAGACTTCGTCGGTCCTTGGTTGGTGTGAGCCTATGTCGAGATATATATGTTCGATAAATGAGAGTGACCTTGAGCAAGTAAAGAAAGACTGCCATTGGGAAGATAGAGAGGTGGTGATTCCGGCCCCCGAAGAAGACATCACTACCCATGTGGAAGGGTTCCTAAGTGTTTACACTTACCCTTTCACGATGGGCCCTGTCGATCCTGTCATATCGATTTTTTGTCGCCAATATCAAATAATCCTCGGTCAGATCCACCCTTCTTTTTGGCGGATCGTCATTCTGCTCCGATTATTTGCAAACAAAGCCGAAGGGATGCCTTTCACCCTCAACCACCTCATCAGGTTGTATAGACCTTGTATTTTTCAAGGCGGGTTAATAAAACTCCAACGTCGGGCCACCAAGGTGCTGTTCTCGAGCATAGATGAGGACAAGGATCAAGGGTGGATGGGAAGTTCGTTCGAGTGAAGACTCCCGACCTAATCCCGACCGAGAAAATGCCATTTCCCGAGGAGTGAAATATGAAGCGTAAGTACACTCCTGCCTTTAGCTTTCATTTATTGTTTTGTTTTCTTTGCTTCTCTTTATCGACATCCCTTTTGGCGATGTAGCAGTTTCTTGGATGCCCTATGCAATTCCTAACCTCGAGAGTTGGGTTCGGAAACTGGCTTCGACCTCTTCGTATGCTGAGCGCTCATGGCATGATTTGGAAAGGGGCTGATGGAAGGCCAAAAATCACGGTAAGCCCTTTTTCACATACTTGATGATTTTCGCTAAAATGTTCCTTTTCATACTTACTTGACTTCCTTTCATATAGGCCTCAGAAAAGACCCTATCATGAGGCCCCCGTCTAGAGAGGAGGAGGCTTCGCCCCCGGCCCCGAAGCTGGCAAAGGATAAAAAGAGAAAGAGGGTCTCGACCTCCGAGACTCCAAAGTCCAAGAAGAGTAAGGCTCGTAAGTCGAAGAAAGACACCGCCGTCCTGCCTGCGGATCTAGTTCAGCGACTAAGAGAGAAAGAAGAAGAAAATGAAGATGCTGGCTTCGAGCTGGTGGCCCGAACGAAGAGGATCACCGAGGCTCCAAAAGCCGCTGAGCCGGTGAGGGTCGAAGAGATTCAGCCTCGAACCGAGGAGATCTCAGAAGAGGGCCCGAGCAAAGTCCCCGAGTCGTCGGAGGATGAAGATGCCTCCCGCCGAAATGAGCAATCGATGGGTGTACGTGAAGGAGGAAAGCTCAGCCCAATCCAAGAAAATTGAGGAGCTAGAGGCTCGGTTGGCCGCCGAACTCGCAAAGGTCACATCTGAGGCAGAAAAAGTAAAGGTTGATACGGAGGCGATCGTGGCCGTCTACCGAGCTGATGCTCAAGCTGAGCAAAGCCAAGGAAGTTACTGATACCGCCCAGACTCGAGCATACTAGGCTGCCGAGCGTGTCAGGTACCAGTCTCGAAGAGAGACTCTTGAGGAGATTCATGCTCGTGGCTTTAACCTTGCTATCGAGATCGAGAATGCGAAAGAGCTCGAGGCCAAAGCCAAAGCGTTGCTATCCTCCAATGATGATGATTCTAGGAGCGTGAGTGGATTTCGATGGCGAAGGCGTAGCTCCCGAGGGAAATTAGGCACTTAGAATTTTTTCCTTTTTTGAATTTTTTGTGTAAGATCCTGATCGATCCATGTAAATAATTTCTTATATATAAAAGATCTTTTTTCTCTTTGATTTGTCTTTATTTCAATTTTCACCTCGTACAAATTCTGTTTTGACTATGTCTTGACAATTTTCATAAGTATGAGGTTTGGGTAATTTGATCGAAGTTGGACTAGTGTAGTCTTTATAATCGAGCGAGTATTTGCTCGAGCTCGAAGTAGGATGACCCTTAGGTTTTAGTTGAGTGAGGATGACTTCTCGAACTCAAAAATAAAATGGCCCTTAGGCTCTTGAATTAGGCCGACATGGCCTTAAAAGAATGGCTTTTTTTCCTTTCCGGCTTAAAAGAGTTAATCATATAAAATTTGTTATGCCTTAGCATAAGATTGTTTTGAGAGTTCGAACAATCCGGTATCCCTTTAGGGTTTCGAGGGTTGATGTTATCTAAACCCTTTGTAACTTTGCCGAGGGTAGCCTTTTTAATCGGTTTTGTGAAGATATTAGTAGGACTGTTTTTATTACGGAATTCGGACGTTTTTGAACCGTGGTGGTTTTGCCGTAGCCTTTAACTTGGGATTTTCTGCTTGGGCTTATCTCCCGGTTACACTTCGAACTTGGTCAAAGTGCCAGTCCGCGAGTGGGGTAGCCGTGGCCTATAAAAACGAGGGTTGCCTTTTTAAGGTCTTATAATCTTGAGATTCTAGTGGTTCGATTTCATCGATTTTCGGATGGTAGCCCTCGAGTATGGGGTGAGTTGTTTGAACTTCAGTTGTGATAGGCCCTTAAGCCAGTTTCCACAATAGATCAAAGTATGAAATTGTAAAGTAAAAATTTCTTTAAGGCAAGAAATATTTGACGAGGAAAATTTTTTTTCTCAATAATTTATACGTGCGTACATGTTTACTTTTAGGGCTCGAGTGATCTAAATGGGCACGGCTCGTTTGACCGTTTGGCCTTACAAAGTTTTACCTATCGAGACCCTGCCGACACGAAGTACCTTCCTTGTAACAAAGTTAACATCCGAGGGTGATGCCCCCCAGTATTCGAGGTTGTTTGTAAAGAAGCCTCAGATACTGTTGAGTTGCTCTAAGTTAGCACGAACAATGGTTGCCTAATAAAAAATCTCGTTGGAAAAACCTATTTAGGATAAAAACCGGTCTAAGAGAAAAAGAGTACAACGCGTGCGTTCAGACCTAAGGACTTTGCTGGAAGATCCTTTGATATCTTCGGTTGAACACCTGCAATTGGTTAGTATAAAATGTAAACGAAAATAGAGAAGATCATACCTTAGCAGTAGTATTGTTTGAGAAGTGATATGTTCCAATTGTTTGGTAATTTCTCGCCGTCCATCGTGCCAAGTTTATAGGATCCTTTTTCAAAGATATCGAGGACCTGATACGGTTCTTCCCAGTTCGGGCCAAGTTTTCCTTCCTTTGGGTCTCGATTATTGATGGTGACCTTTCTTAGGACTAAGTCTCCGGTTTTAAAGTGTCGAAGATTGGTTCTTAGATTGTAATACCTCTCAATCTGTTATTTTTGTGCGGCCATCCGAACGAGGGAGGCTTCATGTATTTCATCTATCAATTTGAGGCTCATATTCATAGCCTCGTAATTTGATTCTTCCGTTGCATACCGATTGAAGCTGGGTTCCCCGACTTCAACCGAGATTAGAGCTTCGTCACCGTAGACTAAAGAGAACAGCGTTTCCCCCGTACTGGATTTTGACGTTGTTCAATATGTCTAAAGGACCTTGGGCAATATTTCTCTCCATTTTCCTTTAGCTCCGTTCAACCTCTTCTTCAGATTTTGGATGACGGTCTTGTTTGTCGATTCGGCCTGTCCATTTCCACTAAGATGGTACGTTGTTAACAGGATCCTTTTTATTTTGTGGTCTTCGAAAACCTTTTTCACTTTTCTACCAACGAATTGCTTTCCATTATCGCATACGATCTCGGCAGGCATTCCGAATCGGCGTATAATATGGTCCCAAATGAAGTCTATGACTTCTTTTTCTCTAACTTTCTCGAAGGCCCGTGCTTCAACCCACTTAGAGAAATAGTCAGTCATAAACAAAATGAATTTAGCTTTACTTGGGGCCGTTGGTAGAGGGTCGACGATATCCATCCCCCATTTCATGAACGGCCACGGGGACTGAGTAGAGTAGCTCTCCGGGCTGGTGGATCATCGGCGCATACCTTTGACATTTATCGCACTTTCGAACAAATTCTTTAGTGTCCCTTTCCATATCGACCCAATAGTATCCTGCTCTGATGACTTTGTAAAATGATTCAGCGTCGGAATGATTTCCATAAGTACCCTCGTGAATTTCCCATAGAACATAGTCGGTGTCTCTTGGTCCCAAACATTTCGATAACGGTACATCGAACGTTCTCCTATACAATGTTCCATCCTCGGCTAATGTGAACCGTGCGGCCTTCGTGCGCAGAGTCCTCGATTCTTTAGGATCCGATGGAAGCTTCCCGTTCTTTAGGTATTCTGTGTATTATTCCTCCAATCCCAGGTTAAACTTGTGGAGTATATTTCGGCATGTCCTTCTTCGATAACTGACTTTGAAAGTTGCACGAAAGTCCCCGAGCTAAGTTCATCGTCTTCGATCAACGACCCCAAATTTGCAAGGGCATCGACCTCGCTATTTTGTTCTTGAGGTACGTGCTACAGGGTCCACTCTTTAAATCGATGTAGAGACACTTGTAATTTGTCTAAGTACCTCTACATTCGATCTTCTCAAACCTCGAAAGTTTTGTTGACTTGATTTGCCACAAGTTGGGAGTAACATTTGTCCTCGATGACCTCAGCTCCCAAGCTCTTAGCTAGCTCGAGAGCTGGAATCATGGCCTCATACTCGGCCTTATTGTTAGTCAATTTTGAAGTTTTGATAGACTGTCTAATCGTATTACCTATGGGCAGTTTCAAAATGATGCCTAGCCCGGACCCCTTCACGTTCGAAGCGTCGTCTATGAAGAGGGTCCATACCCCCGATGACGTACCCGATTTTAATAGCAGTTCCTTTTCAACCTCGGGTACGAGGGCTGGCGTAAAGTCAGCCACGAAGTCTGCCAAGATTTGATATTTAATGGCCGTTCGAGGTTGATACTCAATATCGTACCCATTGATCTCGACGGCCCATTTTGCCAATCAGCCCGAAAGCTCGGGCTTGTGCAAAATGTTGTGAAAGGGGTTAGTGGTCACAACACAAATTGGGTGACATTGAAAATATGGCTTTAGTTTCGTAGAAGCGCTTATTAAAGTAAGCGCTAATTTCTCTAAGTGTTGGTATCGGGTTTCGGCTTCACCTAGGGTCCGCCTAACATAATAAATAGGAAATTGCGTACCTTGTTCTTCTCGAACTAAGACCCAACTGACAACTATCTCTAAGACCGCTAAATATAGGTAAAGTTGCTCGTCCGCCTTTGGGGGTGTGAAGCAATGGAGGGCTCGACAGTAACGTTTGAGTTCCTCCAAAGCCTATTGACATTCCGGGGTCCATGCAAAGTTGCTCTTTTTCTTAAGCAGCGAGAAGAAACGGTGACTCCTGTCTGAGGACCTCGAAATAGATCGACCCAGGGCGGCTATGCGTCCCGTTAACCTTTGTACGACCTTGACATTATCAACAACTGTGATGTTTTCGATTGCCTTGATTTTATCGGGGTTAATTTCGATTCCCCGATTTGATACCATAAAGCCGAGAAACTTGACCGAGCCAACCCCGAATGCACATTTCTCCGGGTTAAGCTTCATGTTGTACTTTCTCAGTATGTCGAAGGTCTCCTGTAAATGTTTCAAATGGTCATTTGCTCGCAGGGGCTTAACTAGCATATCATCAATATAAACCTCCATTGATTTACCTATTTGTTCTTTCAACATTCAATTTACTATGCGTTGATAAGTAGCACCAGCATTTTTTAGTCCGAACGACATTACATTATGGCAATAGGTGTCGTATTTAGTGATAAATGAAGTCTTTTCCTGATCCTCTGGGTTCATTTGTATTTGATTGTACCCGGAGTAGGCATCTAGAAAACTAAGGATCTCGTGGCCGGATGTAGCATCGATCATGCGATCGATATTCGGCAGAGGAAAGGAATCTTTAGGGCATGCCTTGTTTAGATCCTTATAGTCTACGCACATTCTATGTTTGTTTCCCTTTTTATGGAGTACAACGACGTTTGCTAACCATTCCGGATATTTTACCTCCCGAATGGACCCTATATAGAAGTTTTGTTACCTCGTCCTTGATGAATGCATGTTTTACCTCGGACTGAGGTCTTCTCTTTTGTTTCATCGGGCGGAACTTCGGATCCAAGATCAGTCGATGCGTAGTGATCTCCGGTGGGATCCCTGTCATATCTAGGTGGGACCAGGTAAAACAATCCATGTTATTTAAAAGAAATTGAATGAATTTTTTCCTGGGCTCGGGAGTTAACCTCGTGCCCAGGTATACCTTTCGATCGGGCAGATGTTCGATCAGCACGATTTGTTCCAGCTATTCGACCGTTGACTTCCTTACATCAGAATCATTTGGGATTATGAAGGTTCGAGGTATCATATAATCATCATCCTCGAAAGTTTCTTGCTCCTTCCATCGGGCCGAGGCAGCTGACTGTGGTTGCTATTTGACTTCTTTCTTTCCCTTCGACTCCGATTCCTTTGTTGATCAAAGCGTCGATACTGATATTACCTCATCGATTGCAAACATTTCTTTGGCGGCGGATTGTTCACCGTACACCGTTTTGATTCCTTCTGATGTTGGGAATTTCAAGACTTGGTGAAGGGTCGAGGGCACTGCTCTCATGTTATGAATCCAAGGCCTTCCGAGCGGTTTGTTGTACCTCATATCACCTTCGATCACATGGAACTTTGTTTCTTTGATAATCCTAGCCACATTCACTAGCAAAATGATTTCCCGTTTGGTGGTTTGGCTTGCCATGTTGAAGCCGTTAAGTACTCGAGTTGCGGGCACA